GCCAGCGCAGATGGTGCCGTGCTTCGTTTGCTGCGCCCCACTGCTTGAAGCTGGCTACCTGGGCGCGTAATACTTTGGCGCCCTGACTGTTGTCGTTGGGGCTCAAGCCAGCCACGTAATCTTTCAGGCTGTCGTATTCAGCGTCAGGCATGCGCATCGCCATCGTCGACTGCAGCAGATTCTGATACGTATCGTGACTATGGCCAGGGTCAAAGTCTGGCCGCACATCGGTATGAATGACCGCGCCGGCATCAGCCAGCGCCTGAGCGACCAGATCTACCCGCGCTTCAACTTCTTTGGCCACTGGTGCGTTTTCGTCATTGCGCCAGACGGCTACTTTCAATCCCTTGAGGCTGCGTCCCTGCCACTCGGGCAGATTCAGGGTAAAGCCCCGTTGTTTTATTTCATCAGGTCCGGCCATAGCGCGTAGAGCTGTTTGCAGGTCAGTTGCGGAACGGGCTAACGGACCAATCACTGAAATGTCTGAGCTGGAGCGGACATCACCCGGAGGTGTATGTCCCCGCATCCACAGCAGTTCATAGGTGGGTTTGTGCCCAAAAACGCCACAATAGTGGGCGGGGTTTCTGATGGAGCCACCAATGTCTGATCCTGTTTCGATGCCGGTCAGACCTGCAGCAAGGGCCGCCGCAGAACCTCCGGATGAGCCACCAGGCGTGCGGGTCAGGTCGTAGGGGTTGTTGGTGGTGCCGTAGACGTCGTTGTAACTCTGGAAGTCTGCCAGGGACAGCGGCACATTGGTTTTACCGAAGATGTTCAAGCCGATGGACTTGAGCTTTTTAATAGACTCAGCATCTTCCTCAGGCACATTGTCGCGCCATTCCGGGTTGCCCCAGGTTGTCGGCGTGCCAGCGACGTTATAAGACTCTTTAACCGTCATCGGCACGCCCGCCAGCGGTCCCAGCGTGTCACCGCTGGCAATTGCATGATCTGTCGCTTTGGCAGCTTGCTCCGCCTGGTCACGCATCTCCACAACAATGGCATTAATTTCACCATTGTATTTGTCTACCCGCTGCAGATAGTGATGCAGAAGCTCCTGGGCGGATATTTCTTTGTTTTTGATTTTTTCAGCCAGCTCTGTCGCAGAGCAGAAAGCCATATCGCTCATGGTGTTTCCCAGGGTTCTGTATGGGCCAGACTGTGCAGTGTGGGGTTAATTTTATCAAGTTGTATGCACGATCCCGGGGCCGGTCAAGTGTTGGACTGATCGTTGCTTTTGACGACAATTACGCGCCTGGCGACTAGAATGGCACATCTAAAATATTCACGAGTTAGACATGATCTACTTGCACCATTATCCCGCTTCGCTGTTTTCGGAGAAAATCCGAGCACTTTTAGGCTATTACAACCTGCCTTGGTATTCGGTTGAGATCCCCAGCATCATGCCACGGCCGCTGTTGATGCCTCTGTCGGGTGGATATCGCCGCACGCCAGTGCTGCAGATTGGCGCCAATGTTTACTGTGACAGTAAAATTATCTGCAAAGGTCTGGCTCGGCATGTTGGCGATGACAGCCTTTACAATCAGGGTTTTGCCGCACATCGCACCGCGGATTGGGCGGACAGTCAGCTGTTCAAGGTGGCGGTTGCGTTGAATTTTCGCCCTGAGGCGCTAACCGTGATGATGGGGCAGTTTTCGCCCGAGGAAGCGGCTGCGTTTGCAAAAGATCGCGCTGAGTTGTCGGGTGACCAGCCGATCGCCAGTCTCTCGCCGGCTGCGGCCATGGCGTACCTGAATCATTGTCTGGATGAGCTGGAAACCACTCTGGCTGGCACAGGTAGTTTCCTGTTCGGCACAATTCCGAGCATTGCAGATTTTGCTGTGTTTCATAATCTCTGGTTTCTCAACAATAATCCGGTTAATGCTCCACTGCTGGAGGGGTTCAGCCATATCCAGGCCTGGTTCAAGCGTATTGTCGAGATGGGACACGGCGAACCCAAAGCCAGTGACGGGGAGGCCGCATTGACCGCTGCACGGGATGCGCAGCCGAAGCTGCCGGCTCTTTTGATGCCGAGCAACGTTGCTTATGAAGTCGGCCAGCGGGTCACAGTCACACCGGTCGATTATGGCTGTATTCCCGTTGATGGCACGTTGGTGGCGGCAAGTGCTGAAGAAATTGTGATCGAAAGACCGTTGGATGATTCAACGGTGTTTGTGCATTTTCCGCAGGCGGGCTTTGAGGTGCAGGCTGCCGCCGGCTGATTATTTCTTTCTGGAGTGTGTGGGGTGTGTCTCAAGTTGAGCCTCGAGACGCGCCATCCAGGCTTCAATTTTGTACCGGGTCAATGGAATGTCCATGGCCACAAAGGCGACACCTAACGGAAACATCCAGAATCCCAGTACTGGCAGAAAGCCGAACACGCCGCCGATCATGAAGCCCATGCCGACCAGGCTGCGGACACCGGGTGCAACATGGTCACGACCCCATTTCAGGGTTCGATAGGTGATCACCGTGATTCTCTGTTTGAGCGTCAGCTCACCGTGTTTTGCCACTAAACCATCACTGGTCCGTCACTCGGCGCATCGTGAGTGCCGGGGTGAGCGCGACGCGGTAGATCCGGGTCGATGGACAGGAAACGGTATTGGCCGTCTTCGTGCAATGTACGTTCAATCCTATTGCGGTACATCAGCAGGTGTACGTGGGCAATGGCTTCGCCTAACGCCATCATCATCTGCCGTGGGTCTAATTCGCGCGCAAACAGAACCGGCAACAGATCTTTAGCAATATGCGGTTCAACACAGGCTTCTTCGATGGCCAGCATACGATCGTCGTGGTGACTGATTAAGCCTCGCAATCGCTCACGTACGCCATAAAACGGCAGATTGTGGGCGGGCAGCACCAGGGTGTCAGAAGGCGTTGAGAGAAATCGGTCATGGGAGTCCATCCAGTCTTTCAACGGGTTGGCCTCGGGTTCGGTGGGGTGCACGCTGACGTTGGAGGTGATGATGGGCAGAATCTGGTCGCCGGAGATCATCACTTTAAGGGCGGCACTGTATAAACAGGCATGCTCCGGAGAATGACCCGAACCGACGACAACCTGCCAATCGTTATGACCAATGGTCAACACCTGGCCATTCTGCAGACGTTGATAGCCTGACGGCATCGCAGGCATCGACATGCCTTCAGAGGAGCGCTCGCTCCACATTTTGGCCAGTTGTTCCAGGTAGTCGCTGGGCATGCCAGCGCGCTCGTAAAACTGCTGACCAATCCAGCTTGAGTGGTGCGAGGCGCCGCCGCCTGCAAACGTCCTGGCCTGATAATATTCCGCACGGGTCATATACAAAGGACATCTGAAGTAGTCGGTAATCATTGACGCCTGGCCAATATGATCCGGATGCATGTGTGTGCAGATCACGCCAATAACCGGCCGATTGCCCAATTCCTGGCTGAATATCTGATGCCACAGTTCAGTGACGTTCTCCAGCCCAAGGCCGGTATCAATGACCCACCACCCGTCTTTGTCCTCGAGGAGATACAGGTTGATGTGACTGAGTGAGCCTGGCATGGGCATGCTCAACCAACGTACGCCTGGCGCAACTTCCTGGGTGGTGCCAGGGGCGGGATGGTTGTCCCAGGGGTATTTCAAATTGTCTTTTTCATGCATAGCCGGCGCAGTATAGCCGCATCCCGTCGCTATGGCGCCTCCCTAGTTTGGTTTGCCGAGATCGGGTAGATTCAAAGGTTCTTGAGGAGGAGATCAGTCATGGCGATGAACATCAAACCAATTCCGACCCTGGACAGCGAAGTGAACGATATTCGCATGGCCACCGCGGAAATTGTAAACAACGATATTGTGCCGAACGAAAAACGGCTCTGGGGTTGGCTTGCAGACAGTGCCAATGCCACCAACGAAGTGAAAGCCGAAGCCACCGAGCTGCGCCACGAGATTCAGAGCAAGGTCAAAAATGCCAATCTGTGGGCGCCACACCTGCCCCAGGAGTTTGGCGGCATGGGTATCTCGTTTCTGCAGCATGCCTACATGAACGAAATACTCTCCTACAGCCCCGGCGCAGCCTCGCTGTTTGGCGTGGTTGCGCCCAATTCAGGCAACCAGAAGATTCTGGCCAAATACGGCACACCTGAACAGCACGAGCAATGGTTGAAACCCCTCACTGAAGGCACGATGCAATCGGGTTTTTCTATGACCGAGCCGGACAACCCCGGATCTGATCCGAGGTCTATCAAAACCCAGGCGGTACTGGATGGAGATGAGTGGGTCATCAACGGCCATAAATGGTTTACCTCTAATGGCCATGCCGCAGACTTCTTTATTGTCATGTGTCGTACCGCTGATCCGAACGATCCAAGCGGCGATAAGCAGACCATGACCCAGATCATCGTGCCCAAAGACAGCCCCGGGTTGAAGGTTGTGCGTGGGGTGCCGGTCTGGGGTAAAGCGTCCAGTCATTGTGAAATCATCTACGACAATGTCCGGGTACCTAAAAATAATCAGTTGGGGCGTACCGGCTCCGGCCATCAGGCGGCACAGGATCGTCTGGGTGCAGGGCGGGTTTATCATTGCATGAACTCAATTGGCTCCATGTGGCGTGCGTTTGATCTGATGATTGAGCGCTTAACTACCCGCGAAGTGCACGGTGGTGAAAAGCTGGAGGAAAAACAGTTTATGCAGGGGTTTGTTGCGGAGAGTTATATGGACATTCAGTCCGCTCGACTGATGACGATTCACTGCGCTGAAAAGATGGAAACCGGGGTAGATCCGCGCACGGATATCTCTGCGATAAAAATTTTTGTACCCGCAGCCTATTCTCGGGTGGTCGATCGTGCCATTCAGGTGTGGGGTGCAGCAGGGGTTTCGGGAGATTTGCCATTGGCCGGAATGTATCAGGGCGCGCGCACGCTGCGCCTTGCGGATGGTCCGGATGAGGTGCATAAAATTCTTATCGCTAAACTGATCCTCCGTCGCTATCACGCCGGCGAAACTTGGGATTTTGGCAACTGAACACAAGTGGTAGACTGCCCGAATGACAACACTGCAACGCCCAAAAGATTTTTTCAGCGACGCTGAAATCGAGCAGCTGCGCCAGCACTCACCCTGGCGCTCGGCCTATGCTTTGCTGCATTGCTGGGGGGTGATTGTGGCCACCTGGGTGGTGGTCGGCATCTGGACCAACCCGCTGACGGTTCTGCTGGGGATCTTCATTATTGGGGCACGCCAGCTGGGTTTAGGGGTGTTATCTCATGATGGCGCCCATTTTGCGCTCAGCAGAAATCGCAAGCTCAATGACTGGCTGTCGGAGTGGGTACTGAGTCGTCCGTTTACCAGCGGCACCATCTACGGGTACCGAAAGTATCACTTGCAACACCATGCGTTCACTCAGCAACCTGAAGATCCCGATCTGCATTTATCCAAACCCTTTCCGATCAGCAAGACATCGTTCCGACGCAAAGTCTGGCGTGACCTTTCGGGTCAAACCGGTTGGAAACAGTACGGCGCCATGTTCTCTGATGCGTTTAAAGGTGAAACCACCGGTCAGGCTTTAAAAAATGGTTGGCGCCGCTTTGGTCCTAACATAGTGATTAATCTGTTTATTCTTGCCGGTTTCATCCTTGCGGGAAAATGGTACCTCTACTTTCTGCTGTGGTGGGTGCCGGCGTTGACCTGGAATCGTTTTGTCACCCGGTTGCGTAATATAGGCGAGCACGCGGCCGTACCTGACGATAACGATCGGCTGCGTAACACCCGCACCATAGAAGCCAACTGGCTGGAGCGGGCTTTCATTGCACCTTATGGGGTGAATTACCATCTGGAGCATCACCTTGTGGTCAACGCGCCCTGGTACAACCTTAAACGGGCGCATCAGATGCTGATTGAAAAAGGTTTCCTTGAGCAGATGGAAGTCCAGCCAAATTACAAAGCCATGCTTGCGGTAGCGGTGCCCAGTGATGCTGCGGTATAGATTGGGATAACAGGTTATGCCTAAACTCACCCCGTCTGAACAGATTGAATTTCTGAATGAGCCTGGCGTGCTGATGCGCATCGCCGTGGTGCGTGCAGACGGCAGCCCTCTGGTGACGCCGATCTGGTTCCTTCATGAGGCAGGTTCCATTTACTTTACGCCGCGTGAAAAATCGGCCTGGTTTGCCTGTTTACGTCGCGATCCGCGTGTTTCGTTGTGTATCGACGAACAGCCGCTACCCTACCGGAAAGTTATTGTGGAAGGCGCCGCGGAATTGGTCTTTGATGTAGGTGCAGATGATCAATGGCGCGACTTGTATCAGCGCACCGCACAGAAATATGTCGGCGAACAGGGTGCACAAGCTTATGTGCAGAACACTATTGATCAACCCAGAGGTCTGTTCAAAGTAGTACTCGATAATGCCAAGGTCACCAGCTGGCGCATGCCGCTGGAGACCGAAGACGGTATGGGTATCTGGCACGATCGCTACTACGTGCCAGGCACCCATTTTGAGTGAGCTGTTCCTATACAGTGCTGTTGGAGACGTGAATGAAATGTCCTAAGTGTCCCGGCACTATGCAAACTGAAACCTACGGTCGAAAGATTGCGGTACACCGGTGCGATCAATGTGGTGGTCTGTTCTGCAAACCGGATGTCCTGCTGGAGATGAAGCGCGAGTGGATGTCGGAAATTGTTCTGGATAGCGGCAACAAGAAAATTGGTCAGAAGCACGATGCCCTGGGCGAGATTAACTGTCCCGAATGCGGCATCAGCATGGATCAGACGTTTGACCAGGGTCAGAAACACATCTGGTTTGAAAGCTGTGTGCAGTGTGAAGGCATGTACTTTGATGCCGGAGAGTTTTCTGATCTGAAGTATGAAACTCTCATGGACCGCGTGCGCGATTTTGTCAAAGGCGCACGACCCCAGGTCTAGTCTTCTTCCTCGAACAGGCTGTGAAACGTGCGCGCTTCATTGCTGGTGCGCGCCTCACGAATACAGCGCGCCAGTACCGGAATACCCTGAACGATCTGGTCTTCAGTCAAATGGCCAAACGCCAGGCGCAGATAAGGTTTGTTGCGGTTGGCATAGTGAAAAGCCACGCCGGGTAAATAGGCAACCCCATTGTCTTGGGCCAGTTGCCATAGCTTTGGTCGATCCACATCATCCGGCATGCGTACCCAGACAAACAGACCTCCTGCAGGATTTGACCACACACAAATGTCGTCGAGATGGTTAGCTAATCCGTTCACGGTGAGATCGCGTTTGATTTTGAGCACCGGATTGGTGACAGCGGCGTGAGCACCGATGCCGTCTTTGTAGAATTCTGCTGCAATTGCAGAAGCCAGATAGTTCGAGCCGGCATCATGGCGATGGGCGAGCATTTTCTCCAGCATCGGTGGGCGCGCATAGATGTATCCCAGGCGAAACCCCGGTGCGAGTATCTTTGACAGGGAGCCTAAGTAGATATGTTTTGGATTGTCATCCAATGCAAATAAAGCAGGCTCGATTTCGCCTTCATAATGTACGTCTGCGTAACAGTTATCCTCAACAATGGGAATATCGTATCGCGCAGCAAGCTCGATCATTTCCAGGCGTCGTGCTCTAGGCATGATAAAACCTGTCGGATTCTGATAGGTGCTGATGGCGTAAATGAACTTGGGTCGGCGGCCTTCACTTTCCAGTCGCGCAAGCTCAGCGGCCATGTGATCAATACGCATGCCACCCTCGTCGAGTTTGATGCCTACCATCTCAAGACCAATACCACGGTAGGCACTCAAGGTGCCCGGATAGGAATATTCTTCAACCAGAACCGTGTCACCTTTATTTTCCATCAGGGCCTGGGCGGTTAGTGTCACTGCCTGCATAGATCCGTTGGTGATGATCAGATGCTCGGGATCGACGGTAACACCTTCGCGTTGGCCTTCACGCTGTGCCATCAGTTCACGCAGACGCTGGTGCCCCAGGCCGCCTGGATACCGCGTCAACGCTTCCGCTTCGCGACCAATGGCGACCACTGCTGCAGCCTGGATTGCCTGGGTGGGAAAAGTGCTCGGGTCAGAGCGGCCGGTACCGAAGTCGTAAAGTATTTCAGACATTGCCGTGCGCCAAATTGTTTGAGGTGAGGTAGTTATAGCTTCTTGTTACTGCAGTCATCATGTCGGTATCACACTGGTCGAGTTCAACCACTGCCCACTCCAGCGTGTCCGGGTCTGCGGCTGCAAACAGCGCGGGAATATCCATTTTACCATCGCCGACAGCCACATGACTTAAACCTTTGATTAACGGACCGTCTTTGACGTGGATCAGGGGTACACGTCTGTTAACGCGGGTGATCTCCGCTGCCGGGTTGCACCGGCCGAAGTTAGCTGCCCAATAGCTGTCAATTTCAAATTCCACTTCAGGTACCGCATCCTGCAGGTAGTGATACGCGGGCCTGCCATCAATCAAGTCGTATTCCCAATAATGATTGTGTAGAAACAGCGTGAGACCATGGGGTTTCAGAGCGTCAGCCAGTTCAGCGGTGGTTGCAATGGTCTGCTCAAGGCTGGCCCTGTCTTTGAAATCATCTGGCGCAAAGCCACCTGGTGCACGGGTTAAACCCAGTGCCTGGATAGTCTCAACCACCTCATTAAGGTTCTCGGTGCGATTGGTCCAGGGGAAATGGCTCGAGCTGACCTGCATACCCAGGTCCTGTACCTGACGGCAAAATTCATCTGGCGATTTACCAAACAGGCTGAATGGCTCTACCCCGGCATACCCGGCTTCAGCGAGCTGAGTCAGAACGCCATCGAAGTCCTCCTGACAAGCATCTCGCAAAGTATAAAGTTGCACCGAAATCGGTGGGATATTTGTGCTCATGCTGACCTCCCTTTAGGCTATCGTAGCGTTGTTTGTGGAGGGAGTGTAGGTGCAGAATCGTAAGTTAAGGTTTGGCATGGTCGGCGGTGGGCAAGGGGCGTTTATTGGCCCGGTGCACCGCATGGCGGCTGAACTCGATGGCCACGCAGAATTAGTCTGCGGCGCCTTTGCCTCAGATCCGCAGCGATCACAAACTTCTGGTCAGGAAATATACCGTCTGCCGGCCCAGCGCTGCTATCCAGACTATGCGGCCATGTTTGCACAGGAGCGGGCGCTGCCCGAAGACGTGCGCATGGACTTTGTCGTGATTGTGACCCCTAATCATCTGCATGTCCCCGTCGCGCAGGCGGCCCTTGAAGCAGGTTTTCATGTGGTTTGTGACAAGCCCATGGCCATGCACGCCGATGAGGCCGGGCAACTGGCGGCCCAGGTGCGCAGCACAGACCTGAAGTTTGCGTTAACGCATAATTACACCGGCTATCCGATGATCAGAGAGGCCCGGGATCTGGTGTCCAGCGGTGCGCTGGGTCCTGTGCGGCGTGTCAGCTGTGCTTATCTGCAGGGTTGGCTGGCGCAGGATGTGCAGGACAGCAAACAGGCTCAGTGGCGAACAGATCCCGCCCGGGCAGGTTCGGCTGGGTGTTTTGGAGACATCGGCAGCCACGCAGAAAACCTCTTGAGTTTTGTCAGTGGCTTGGCGATTGAAGCCGTTTGTGCAGACCTTTCAACCTTTGTCGCGGGTCGAAGCCTTGACGACGACGGTAATGTGCTTTTGCGCCTGGGTGATGGTGCGCGCGGCATCATCAGCGCAAGTCAGATAGCAATAGGCAAAGAAAATGATCTCACGCTGCAGCTTTATGGTGAAAAAGGTGGCCTGGAGTGGCGACAGAGTGATGCCAATTCTCTGATTGTTCGCTGGCCTGACAAACCCTATGAGGTGAGGCGCAGTGGCGGACCGGGCACGGGTGCCAATGCCCAGGCGGCAACCCGCATTCCTGCCGGACATCCCGAAGGCTATATTGAGGCGTTTGCGCAGACGTATCGAGACTTCTGTCTGGATCTGCGCGGTTTACCCTTTGATGATTATCCTTCTATTGAGGACGGTTTACGGGGTAACCGGTTTATCGACGCTGTGGTAAAAAGTTCTGCTCAGGATTGCACCTGGGTGAGATTGAACACGATCTAGGAAAAGACACATGCAAACTCTGAAAGGGCCGGCAATTTTTCTGGCCCAGTTTATGGATGATACAGAGCCCTTCAACAGCATCGATCAGATGGCAAAATGGGCGGCGGACATGGGCTTTGTCGGCGTACAGGTACCGATCGGAAATCCGGCGTTCATTGATGTTGCGCTGGCTGCCGAGAGCAAAACCTATTGTGATGAGCTTAAAGGCCGGGTTGAGGCGCAAGGTGTGGTTATCACCGAGTTGTCGACCCATCTGGAAGGGCAGTTGGTAGCGGTTCATCCGGCCTACGACGAATTGTTTGATGGATTTGCCGCTCCACATGTGCGTGGTAATCCTGCAGCCAGAACTCAGTGGGCAATACAACAGGTAACGTTAGCGGCGAAAGCCAGCGCGAACCTGGGCTTGACCGAACAGGTTTCTTTCTCGGGTTCTCTGCTGTGGCCGATGATGTATCCATGGCCTCAGCGTTCACCCGGATTAGTCGAAGAGGGCTTTGCCGAACTTGCGCGCCGCTGGCGGCCGATACTGGATGCCCATGAAGAAGCTGGCGTAAACGTCTGTTACGAAATTCATCCCAGCGAGGATCTGCATGACGGCATAACGTTTGAACGATTCCTCGAAGCGGTAGACGGGCATAGCCGTGCCAATATCCTCTACGATCCCAGCCATTTTCTGTTGCAGCAACTCGACTATCTGAGCTTTATTGATATCTATCATGAGCGCATAAAAATGTTCCATGTCAAAGATGCTGAGTTTAATCCCACCGGACGCAGTGGCATTTACGGGGGGTATCAGGACTGGTTGCAACGGCCAGGAAGATTTCGTTCGTTAGGCGATGGGCAGATTGATTTCAAAGCCATATTTTCCAAGCTGGCCGGCTACGATTACCAGGGCTGGGCGGTGCTGGAATGGGAGTGTTGTCTGAAACATCAGGAAGATGGCGCTCGTGAAGGCGCGGCGTTTATCAGGGACCATATTATTCGCGTTACAGACAAAGCGTTCGACGATTTTGCCGCCAGCGGTACCGATGTTTCAAAAAACAGACGTATCCTCGGGCTGGAGGATTGATGACATGTCTCTAGCCAAACCCTTGAAAGTACTGACGCAGGCACAGCAGCAGAAATACCTGCAGGACGGCTACCTCAGCGTGGAAAGCTTTGTTGATGGCGAATGGCTGAAGCAACTGCAGGCCGTGACCCAGGAATTTGTAGAGGTCAGTCGTCACATTGAAGGGAAAGACGCGCGCTTCGATCTGGAGCCTGATCATAGTGCCGATGCGCCGCGAATCCGACGGCTTAACTCACCGGTGGATCAACACGAAACCTACTGGGCCTTTGCCAGCAGCGGCCCGGTTGTTGATGTTGCGCAGGACCTGCTGGGGCCCAATGTTAAATTCCATCATGCCAAGCTGAACTTCAAGTGGGGTGGCGGTGGTGAAGAAGTGAAGTGGCACCAGGATATACAATTCTGGCCGCATACAAATTACGACGTGCTGACCATTGGTGTTTACCTGGATGACGTTACACCAGAAATGGCACCCATGGGTGTGATTCCGGCTAGTCATAATGGCCCGTTGTTTGATCTTTACGATGAACAAGGCCACTGGACCGGCAATATTCGTGATGCCGATCTGCCAAAAATAGAGGCTGAAAAGGCGGAATATCTGGGTGGCCCTGCGGGTTCGATAACCGTGCACAATTGCCGCAGCGTGCATGGTTCGCCACCTAATTTAAGTGACCGACCCAGGCCATTGTTGCTGATGGCGTACAGCGCTGCAGATGCATTGCCAATTACCAATCTCACCAGCGGCGGCAAACATGCGGAGACTATCGTTCGTGGCGAATCCGCACGTTGGGCCAGGTTTGACCCGCGTCCAGTACTCATGCCCCCGGACTGGTCGAAAAGCGGCTATAAATCGATATTCGAGCACCAGCAGGGCCAATAATCCACCGCTAATTTACGTTTCCTTAACACCAAAAGTGCGCGTAGTGGCTAATGCTACGGTAGACTACCGCCTTTTTGCCCAGAGCTAAGGTGTTAGTGCATGAACCTTGAACGGATCACCGTCGGCGACGACGCGCCAAACGATATCAATGTCATCATTGAAGTGCCGGTGGGTGGTGAACCCATCAAATATGAAATGGACAAAGACTCCGGCGCGCTGGTGGTCGATCGTTTTTTATATACCTCCATGCGCTATCCAGGTAATTACGGCTTTGTCCCCCATACGTTGTCGGACGACGGTGATCCCATTGACGTGCTGGTAGCCAATACCCGCGCGATCACCCCAGGTGCTGTGGTTAATTGCCGGCCGATTGGTGTGCTCATGATGAGAGATGAAGCCGGTCATGATGAGAAAGTTGTGGCCGTACCTTCAACCCGGCTGACCCGTCGTTATGAAAACGTCAAAGACATACACGATCTGCCCCAGATCACATTAGATCAGATAGCCCATTTCTTTGAGCACTACAAAGACCTGGAAGATGGCAAATGGGTTGAAGTTGAACGCTGGGGTGGTGTGGACGATGCCAAACGCCTGATAAAGGAAGCCATAGACCGCTACAGTTAGCCCTGCCTGTCTTATCCGTCAGCCGCGAGGGCTTTGATCAGGCCTCGCGCGCTTGCCCCATCCAGATACTCGCGCAACTCGGTAATCTTTCCGTTGCTCACTGTTGCAACCACACATGCTGCAATCTGCAGGGCACTGCCATCAGGCAAAGTACCACGGACACTGTGTTCTTCGACAAAACCTTCTGCTGTACTGGCGCGAATGGCTTCGGCGTAGTGAAAGTCTTTCACTTTCTGATGCACTGCCTGGTTAAAGCTCAGCAGTGTATCCAGATCCATTGCTGGGCGATGGTTCTGAATGGCTTTCAGATCTGTGCTACACAAGCTTCTGGCGGCATCATCGTCACCGCTTTGAAAGGCCGTAAATAATTTTTCCGCTAGATCCGCATGGCTCATTTTCTGATACACCCCTCATAGACAAGCGGTGAGTATAGCGCTCTGAGAACTGATACCAAGACCAACGTTTCTATATCGCGCTGGATCAAACGTTCTGCGCCATAAGCAGGGGTCGAAGTCGGCAGTTTGTTCAGATACGCTTGAGAGCGCAAGGGAGAACAGTTATGGCCATTCGTATTGACCCTGTCACAGGGTTGAAAATTTTTGATACCCGTGCCGCCAAGGCTACGGAAAAGATATCTGGCAAGGGATACTCGCTGGTTGCTGATGAAGCGCTGAAAACATTGCCGCCGGTACCCGCAGGCGCCGTTTTTGATGCGCAAGAACAGGCCAAATACAAAGCTTTTAAAGAAGCGCGGGCGGGTGCCGCAGACTACATGGCGATGGAAGGTGAGTTCAGTCGCTATCTGGAAGACGTGTACTCAGCTGATCCGGTAGAACGTGAGTCACTCCACGACGAATGTGAAATCGTGGTAGTAGGAGCGGGCTTTGCCGGTCTGTTGTTGTGGTACAAGCTGCGCGAGGCAGGTTTCACGGATGTGCGTTTCTGTGAAAAAGGTGGTGACGTGGGTGGTACCTGGTACTGGAATCGATATCCCGGTATAGCCTGTGATGTTGAGTCTTACAGCTATCTGCCGCTGCTTGAAGAGATGGGCTATGTGCCCTCCATGAAATTTGCCGCCGGCTTTGAAATCATGGAGTACTGCCAGTCCATGGCAGAGAAATTTGGTTTCTATGACAAGTGCCTGTTTCATACCACTGTCGAGCAAACCCAATGGCACGAAGATACCGCGCGCTGGAGTGTGAAAACTGATCGCGGTGACGACATGAAGGCGCGGTTTGTGATTCTGGCTAACGGTATACTTACGACGCCAAAGCTGGCAAAAATCGATGGTATGGAAACGTTTCAGGGTGATTCGTTCCATACCTCACGTTGGGATTACAAAATTGATCTTAAGGGTAAGCGCGTTGGCATCATTGGCACCGGAGCAACCGCGGTGCAGGCCGTGCCTGAGCTGGCTAAAACCGTTGGTGAGCTGTATGTCTTCCAGCGTACCCCGTCATCCATTGACGTGCGCGATCAGCGGGAAACCACTGAGGAAGAACGCCGAACCTGGGCCACTGAGCCGGACTGGGCAAAGAAACGTCGTGCACGGTTTGCCAGAATTTCAGAAGGTCGCACAGCGCTGAAAGCTAACGATGATTATCTGGCGGGAAAGGTAGACGATTACAAAGAGCGAAAATCCCATGCAACCAGGCTTTCTGCAGAAGAGTTGGTTGAGAAACAGTTGCAGACCAATTTCCGCATCATGGAACAGATACGCGCCAGGGTAGATGCGATAGTGCAGGATCCGAAAACGGCTGAGGCGCTTAAGCCCTATTATCCGTATGGCTGCAAACGGCCGACGTTCCACGATGAATATCTGCCTGCATTCAATCTGCCCCACGTGCATCTGGTAGATACCGCGCCAAGAGGCGTGAGTGAGATCAATGAACGTGGTGTGGTTCACGACGGCGTTGAATATCCGTTGGATGTTCTGATTTACGCCACCGGCTTTCAGTGGATGGCCACATCAACTTTTAACATGATTATGGGACGTGACGGTCAAACTCTGCGGGATAAGTGGCAGGGTCAAGGTACCAAAACCTTTCTCGGTCTGCACAGCAAAGGCTTCCCCAACCTGTTTATTATTTCTGGCCCCCAGGGTGGTGGCGGCAGCTTCAATTTTACCAACGCCATTGAAGAACATGCCGATTATGTTGTGTGGATGTTGTCGACAATGCGTGACCGAGGTGCGCGGACTGTAGACGTGAAACAGGCGCCTGAAGATGAATATGCAGAGCACTGCCGCATGGCAGATCAGGTCACACGGCCACTCCGTGACTGCATAACTTATTACAACGGCCACGGCGAAGCCGAGCCGGGTAGCCTGGCCTATTATGGAGGCGGACAGTGGCATAAGTTTCGCCTCAAAGCGCAGGAGAACCTGGAGCCCTACGTTTTCGGCTGAGCGCCATGCGACCGGCTGCAACTGCGCTTTTCTGCCTGCTGCTGGCGGCTGGAGCAGGGCACTTAAGTGAGCCGGCTGCAGCTGCGGATACAGATGCGCCAAAAGCAAGCAGTTTACCCGCCGGGCTGACTGACGATCCCCTGCTGAACTCCCGCTTTATTCTCTACGGTGCGGGGAACAATCGAACGCGCGCGCTACGCTGGACCAAACGCCGCGGTGACCCGGATATGGCGGCAGCACTTATCCACGCGATGCGTTTTGCCATGCCAAAGCAGCGCGATGATCTGGTGCAGACGCTTCAGAGTATTACCAAACGGCGCTATGGTGATAACTGGTTGCGTTGGATGCAGTGGCTGCAGGCAAACCCGGAAACAGAACCCTTCAAGGGCTTTGACATTTTTCTCAGTGCACTGCTGGGGAGTCTTGATCCCGGATTCAAAGATTTTATTTATCCTGGTGTGAAACATGCCATTCGCCTTGAGGAAGTTGTCTGGGGCGGTGTTGGCAGTAAAGACGGTATTCCTGCTCTGGACACACCCAGATATGTTCTAGCCTCTGAAGCGGACTATCTGACGCCCCAGGATCTTGTTTTTGGCGTCAACATCAATGGCGATACGCGTGCCTACCCCCACCGCATTATGGATTGGCATGAGATGGCCAATGATGTGGTCGGCGGTGTGCCTGTGGCCCTGGCTTATTGTACGTTGTGTGGCTCCGGGATTTTGTATGACACGTCTGTGGCAGGCACAAACGAGTTGTTGGTCTTTGGCTCTTCTGGATTATTATATCGCTCTAACAAGCTGATGTTTGATCGCAAAACCAATTCCTTGTGGAACCAGTTCACCGGTCGTCCTGTGGTAGGCGCGCGGGTTGGATCCGGGGTTGAGCTCGTTACCTTACCGCTGGTCACCACCAGCTGGTCGAAATGGTTGGCCAAGCATCCGAATACAAAAGTGCTCGACATCAACACCGGCTTCACGCGAGATTATTCTGCCGGCGCGGCCTACGGCAAATACTTCAAGAGTGCCAAGCTGATGTTCCCGACGCTCACAGATGATCGCCAGCTTAAACAGAAAGAACAGGTTTTTGGATTGCGTATGAGTGGCGTTGATCGTGCCTGGCCGCTGAGCGCGTTCGAAGGCGGACGGGTGATCAACGATCAGGTGGGGGTACTAAAACTTGTTCTGATTGGAGATGCACAAACCCGCACAGTGCGGGCTTACCGACGCGGTGACAACAAGTTCACTGCATCCGTTCATGGCGACACGGTGCTGTTGGCAGGCGATGTACAGTGGACAATGACGGAAGCGGCATTGATCAGTGTCGAGGGTGAGCTGTTATCGCGACTTCCTGGGCACCTGTCTTTCTGGTTTGCCTGGCACAATTATCTTGGCGGAGACACTCTGAAGATTCCTGAATGATATCAGGGGTGCAGGTTAGGCAGAAAAAGTTGCCTGGTGGTGAGAGGCGGCATAAGAGTGATCAAAGTAGCAGACTGCTACAACACATGCAAAACGCTTAGGCTGGGTTTTTGGCGCACAAGATAAGTGGAAAAATGATCTATTTAATTGAAGGTCCCGTTGGTGCTGGCAAGTCGACTTATGCCAGGCAACTGTCCGAGCGGCACAGTGCATTGCACTTGAACCTGGACGAATGGATGGTCGTGTTGTTTCGCCCGGATCGACCGGAGGTCGATTTCCTGCGGTGGTACAACGAGCGCAAGCAGCGCTGTATAGAGCAGATCTGGGCCATTGCGCTCAAATGCAACCTGGTGGAAATTGCCGTGGTGCTGGAGTTAGGTCTGGTACAACAGGCTGATCGCGTCGCTTTTTATGACAGGGCTGCTGATGCGGATCTCGATCTGCAGGTTGTGGTGCTTGATGCGCCTCGCGAAGAGCGCATGGCGAGAGTACAAACGCGTAATGTGGAACAGGGTGACACGTTCCAGATGCTGGTTTCCGACGAAATTTTTGCAATCGCCGATGCTGCCTGGCAGGCGCCGGATGATAAAGAGTTGGCGTTGCAATCGATTGTTATGATCGACACGGCCTGACGCCAAAATTTTGACGCGAACTAGCGATCCTGCGCCATACGATATTCAAGTTGTCGCCACTATGTAGTATCGCCCCCTTGAGCCAGAAGTTAGTACATAATCCTACGATGGCCAACGTCTTACTCGATTCCAGACTGGAAGGCCGTCTGTTCAGTATTGGTGACCAGCTGTATCTGGTGGTCGCGATAGATGGACAGCGGGGCTTCGCGCGCACCACGACCAAACAGGGTGCTGCGACACGCATTGTGGATTTCCCAATCCCGGAAGTGCGATGGCGTTTGTTTATGGAGCCGGAGCCTGCTTGAGGCAAATCTCTATTTTTCCGCAATCACAAAGAAATTTGTGTCCGTAGGCGCAACGGTGTTGCCGTCGTCGCCAGCGATTCTGAGGATGCTAAACCCAGCCGCGGATAACATGTCTGTCAGCGCAGCGGCTGCGTACCACTGCAGGACCCAGGTGCGATCCAGGGTTTCAGTCTCGCCATTGATGGCACACATATATCTCAGGTGCGTTGATACCCGCTGAAGATCCGGATTTCGCTCCTCTGCTATAGATTGAACTGTCGCAACGCTACCATCGTCCAGTATCGTAGATTTAACCGGTGAGGGCAGGGCTGCTTCGGCAGGTTTGAACACGGAGAGTAGAAAGTGTCCGCCCGGGGTGAGCGCGGTATAAACGCGGCGTAAGGTTTCCTGGGCATCATCGAGGCTATCGATCAGGCAGAACGAAGGACCGGCCAGGTAGCAACAGGCAAGTTCCAGAGCGGGTTCGCCGTATTTTTCAACGAAGCGCTGGTAGACCTCGGGCACTGGCAGGTGCCCTGCCAGGGGTTCGTAAAGTCGGGCAACCAGGCCGGTGTAAAATTGGCTGGTAGTTGTCATTACTCTTCTCGCGCTGCTAACAAACCTATCATGCTGCCTGGCGGGGTGACGTCACACGTTACTTCGCCTTGACACATTCACGCAGAGGAGTAGATATGGTCTTCTTGAATTCCTTACTGAATGTAATATGCCAAACAAGCTATCCCACTTTGCGATTGAAGCTGACGATGTTGAGCGCGCCAAAATATTCTATGAATCCGTATTCGGATGGGAATTTGAAGCCTGGGGACCGCCAGGATTCTATCTGCTGCACAATGCTGGCCTGCATGGCGCGCTGCAGCAGCGGCTCGAACCACTCGGCCATGGCCGGTCTGGCTTTCATTGTTCCATAGCGGTTGATGATCTTGATGCGACTTCAGAGCTGATTGAGCACGCTGGCGGTCGAGTTATTGGCGACCGCCATACTATTCCTACGGTAGGTGAGCTGTGTGAGTTCGTCGATACAGAAGGCAACGAGGCGACAATCATTGTCTATGCAGGCGAACAGCGCAAAGCTCTGGGCTTGTAGCGACTTTTTAAAACAAGACACCGTACACAAAAACTCCTTTCAGTCGACAGATTGATAAAGTTTGTTTGACAACAGTAATTATGAGGCGCATTATCCGCGCCCTGAAAATATAGCTTCAACCATGGGCGTCGTATGAACCCGATTTGGCACAACACATATCTAAGCACCTCACAGGCAATTTGCCTGCGCGGTCGCGTGGTTGTGTCCCTGGAAATGGTTTCGATCATTGTCACAAAAGACTTTGTCGCCCATGACCCGGGAGGCTCTGACGGTTGAATTTGTCGCTTTTAAGACATTTAGAACCCCGAAGAGCCCCAAGCCTTCGGGGTTTTTTCGTTCTGGGGCAATAGAAATTGAATAAGCGATCACATGGATGTGAGCGAGAAGAAAAATGACGTACGAAGAAAAATTAAGTAGGAACGTACACCGCACTTTGTTGCTGGGTTTCTTCCAGGTCTTCCTGGTGATCATCCCTGTTGCTGTGCCTTTCTTTCAGAGTAAAGGGCTCAGCCTGCAGGAAGTGTTTTCCCTGCAGGCGTTGTTTGGTCTGGTGGTTTTGTTGACCGAAGTACCTTCCGGATATCTGGCGGATGTTCTAGGTCGAAAAAACACATTAGTGGCTGGTGCGCTGGTCGCTGCTCTGGGTCATTCGGCGCTGCTGGTAGCTGATGGTTTCTGGACGCTGGCGATCTTTGAAATCCTGCTTGGCCTCAGCCACTCGCTGATATCAGGTTCGGACCTGGCGTTGTTGTACGACACCGAGCTGGCAATGGGGCGTAGCGAAGACGAGCAGCGCCAGGTGGTTGGCAAGCTTTACAGTGCGCGAACGTTTTCTGAAGCACTTGCCGGTCTGGCGTGTACGTTGGTGTTGTTGTTTGCCACCTTCGACGAGTTGGTTTATCTGCAGGTGCTGGTGGGATGGTTGCCGGTATTGCTGGTGCTGCGCCTGGTTGAACCGCCCGGGCAGCGATTGGAGTCGAGTGGGCATATGGCAAATATGGGGCGGATTCTGCGCTACCTGGCCAGCCATTCAGCCGTGTTGCGCCTGGTCTTCCTGGCGCTGTCGATCTGGAGCCTGACAACGTTCTATGCGGTCTGGCTGCTGCAGAAGCTCTGGGAAACACAGGGTGTGGAGCTGGCTCATTTTGGTTGGCTGTGGGGCGGATTGACACTGATCGCCGCCTTCGCAGGTCGTTGGGCACACCGGGTAGAAGATCTGATGGGATCGCGGGCGCTGCTGGTGTTCATCGGTCTGGCACCCGCGGTTGGCTATATCGGTCTGGAAGTTTTTGGGGTGGTTGGTGGATTACTGGCCAGCACCACATTCTTTCTGGCAAGAGGATTCGGGCTGGTGGTGTTACGCGATGCGCTTAACAGTCGCGTGCCCGGTGAGTTCCGTGCAACGGCTAACTCGTTGGCCAGTTTCGGTTTCCGTGGGGCCTTTGTTCTGACGGGTCCTATTGTGGGTTACACCCATGACATGTGGGGCATGCAGACCACGCTTGTCATGTTGGCGATCGTCACTCTGGCGATTTTCGGAGGGCTCATATTGCCTTTAGTGGCGGCGGTTAAACATGGACAAACACAAGCGGCCTCGGGCCAGGAGGTGAGTAATGGATGAAAAGCATCCGCAACAAACAGATTTTAATTTTGCAGGAGATAGAAGATGAACACTCAACAGGCTTTACGGCCAGAACAGCTTGAGCGGGCGCATAGTCCGCGTAAGCCGGAGCAGAATTACGAACTACGCGTGATTCATGGGACCGGCGGTTTGCTGGAGCTGGTCGAAATACAGCCGCGTAAGCATCAATGGTTTCACGACTGGGTCCGGGCGATGCAGTTCGCCCATTGGAACTTCTGATGTGCTACGCCTTGCCCGGGGTAACCCCCCGGGCCTTTTTTCAGGGATGGCCTATTTAGAGATTTCGACCGCAGCGATCAGATCATTGCGTACCAGCGATGAAGATGGGCGTTTACGCTCGTACTTTTTAGCCGGTGTATTGATGATATCGGTGAGTTCGCCAGCCGCAATACCTGCTTGCTCCCGTTCAGCACTGACGGGGCCGTAAGCTGTCAGGCGCTGTCGGGGGTTGCGGTTCAGGGTGCGAATGATGCGCCGCATTTCTTCGGACGATGTTTCCTGACCGTGTTCGGTACCCGCCGCGCGGCTGATGGATTCATTCATCAACGTGCCTCCCAGGTCGTTACAGCCCGCATTCAAACAGGCTTTTACACCTTCGTGCCCCATCTTCACCCAGCTCGCCTGGATGTTGTCGATATGGCCGTGCAGGGTCAGCCTTGCAACCGAATGCATCAATACCGCTTCCCGGAAAGTGGGTCCTTTGCGTGCTTTGCCTTTCAAGTACATTGGTGCTTCCATGTGTACAAACGGTAGCGGCACAAATTCGGTGAACCCACCGGTGCGCTTCTGCAGTTCGCGGATGCGGATCAGGTGTCTTGCCCAGTGGTAAGACTTCTCGACGTGGCCGTACATGATGGTGGCGGTGGTATTGAAGCCAACGCTGTGAGCAGCTTCCATCACCTGTAGCCATTGTTCCGTATTGATTTTGTCAGCGCAGATTACCGCGCGCACTTCATCATCCAGAATTTCAGCCGCGGTGCCGGGGAGTGTGCCAAGCCCGGCTTCTTTAAGCATCTGCAGGTAGGGCTCAAGCTCCATGTCCATAGTTGCCGCACCCTGCCAGACTTCCAGCGGAGAAAAGGCGTGGATATGCATCTGTGGTACAGCCGCTTTAACCGTTCGCAGAATATTCACATACGTATCACCGGTGTATTCCGGATGGATACCGCCTTGCATGCATACTTCGGTGGCGCCTCGCTGCCAGGCCTCCTGGGTACGTCGAGTAATTTCTTCGTCAGACAGATCATACGGCCGACCGCGCAGGGACTCCGACAGCTTGCCTTTCGCAAACGCGCAGAACTGACATTTGAAATAACAGATATTGGTGTAATTGATGTTTCGATTGACGACAAAGCTGACCGTGTTGCCGCAGACCTGACGGCGCAGCTCGTCTGCTGCCTGTGCCACCGCGGTGAAATCATCACCTCTAGCCTGAAACAGACGCACAACCTCGTCTTCGCTGAGGTCCTGCCCGCTTTTAACGTTTTCGATAATGGTTTTGATATCATCAGACACGTGTTTTGGCGCGTCCATGATGGCGGTCATCACCTCTACCGGTGGTTTGATGTCAATGTCACCAGGGCACCACTCATCAATGCGCGGAAATCCTTCGGTATCGATCATGTCCAGAACCCGTACATGCAGATCTTCATGCACCCAGTTGTCCAGGTCGATGGCGTATCGCGGATAAACGGTGAGGCGTTCGGTCAGGTATTTACCCGCCGCAGCGGTTTCTCTGGTGAGGTCTTCAAGATGCGGCCAGGGTGCTTCCGGATTCACAAAATCCGGTGTCACCGGTGAGACGCCGCCCCAGTCGTTGATGCCTGCATGGACAATTTGTGGTAACACGCCTGGACTCAAATTTGGTGGCGCCTGAATGCTCATATGAGCCCCAAACAATATCCTTGTGACGGCAATGGTCCATAACAGTTCATTTAAGTCCGGCTCCGGCGCATTCACCATTTTGGTTTCCGCTTTGGCGCGGAAGTTCTGTACGATGATTTCCTGTATGTGGCCGTATTCCTGATGAATAGCACGAATCGCCAGCAGGCTTTCAATACGCTCAAGTCGGGTTTCACCAATGCCGATCAATATGCCGGTGGTGAAAGGTACTTTGGCAATGCCTGCGTTGCGTAAGGTTTCTAAGCGCACCGCTGGGATTTTGTCCGGGCTGCCGTAGTGGGGCATGCCTTTTTCGGTGAGTCTGTCTGAGGCGGATTCCAACATGATGCCCATGGACGGCGATACGCTGCGTAAATCCGCCAGTTCCTCCGGGCTCAAATTGCCAGGGTTTAAATGCGGTAACAAACCCGTTTCTTTGAACACGGCTTCCGCAGCGGCTTTGAGATATTCCGTGGTGCTCGCGTAACCCATTTCGGACAATGCTTCCCGCGCAGCTTTGTAGCGCAGTTCAGGCTTTTCGCCCAGCGTGAACAAAGCTTCTTTACAACCCATGGACTGGCCGTGGCGAGCCACCTCAAGCACTTCGTCGATGGTCATATACGCAGCTTTAAGCTTGCGCGGCACCTGCGCAAACGTACAGTAGTGACAAACGTCGCGACACAGGTGCGTCAGCGGAATAAATACTTTCTTGGAATAGGTGACTACGTTGTGGAAACCGGTGTCGCGTAGTTCCTGCGCCACATCTGCCAGGGCACGGGTATTGTCGAAATCCGCCAGCGCCAGCGCCTCTTTGTCACTGGGTAGAATGCCGCTGCGGGCGTCAGACAGCAGTTTGTTAACTGTATCTTCCGAGGATGAAAGTGAAGTGTTCATAAAACGCTATCCAGATAGTGAATTCGAAAGTTGCTCAAGACGTGTGGTGATGCCAGACCGGCGCAGGTAGCTGGCTGTCTGACTGTCCGGCTCATCGTTGAGCACAGCAATAAGATCTTTGGGGGTGTCTATATCCAGGGCAAATTTAGTGGCGGGCACAATGGTGGGTGTGATGCCGCGCTCGAATGCCGCATCGACATGTGGTTTGAAACTCTGCCCGTCGAAAATGTAGGGCATACACAAAGGAGGTCGGCAAATGAGACCGTTGGTACCCACATTTTCTGCATCCGGCAGAATGGTCACTGTCTGATTCCGGGCGAGCAGTTGATCGAGTTCTTCTGCGTCTATACCCGGCACATCGGCGGGCACAATAATAATGCCTCTCGCATTAAAATGATCGATCAGATGTTGGGCGGCCTGTTCCAGCGCCTGGGCCAGGTTAGCAGTGGGGCTTTCGGCATAACGTTCAGTTCCGAAGGATTGCGCCAGCGCGTCGGCTTCCGGGGTGCGGGATACAATGAGGACGCCGGAGAGTTGATTACACTTGGTGAGGCAGGTAAGGACATCTCGTGCCATGGCCAGCATGAGTGCGCGTCGTTCCTCTTCACTGAGTACATTGGCAAGACGTTGCTTTGCGCGCTCGAACGTCTTTATGGGAACGATGGCCCACATTGGCTTCTCCCGAAATGTAGTTGATGTACCGCCGCCGACCCCTATTTGCGCTCCTTTTAGTGCTACGCAACTGAGTTGTCGTCAACGCTTGGGTGTGTGTTTGCGTTTACTTAAAACACTCTGCAGGCACCCAAAGCCTAAGGGGACAAACCGTATCATGATGATACAGGCCTGGATAGTTCGATTTTTGGCTATGCAAAGTACGTTTTTTGCGCCACTTCCAGCCGCGCAGCCAGGGATTTTCTGGTGAGGATTGTTGTCAGGCAGTTTGAGCCTGTGTGACCCAGCGCGTATTACGGGTACTCCACCAGATAACAAACAGCAGAAAGACCTGGATAACTAATCGCAGGGACAGAAAAAAGGGCTCAACGTCAGGATACAGCTGCGGGTTCATCCACATATGCACGTTGGCAGGTGTCACCGCCAGCGTTAACGCGATCAGCAGGTTTCCGGCAAGTTCTCTGGTTGCAGGCGGTATCAGCATGATGGCGAATACAATCTCCAGCGCGCCGCTGAAGTAGACGATCTCCAGATGCCAGGGCAGATAGGGCGGCATGATGGCGACAAAAAAGTCAGGGTTGGTAAAGTGCGTGATGCCCCCGATTAAGAACCAGGCGAAGACGACAGCGAGTCCGAGGTAACTGGCGATTTTTAACATCGACAAACTCTAGCGACAAGGTAGGCTTAAGTCCATCTGAGGTAACGGGAGAAGGTCAATGTATCCAGGTAAGTATGCTCAATTAAACCCCGACAGGCCCGCTTTCATCATGGCGAGCACCGGCGAAGCCGTGTCCTATCGCGAATTTGAAGCCAGAGCCAATCGGCTTGCGCACCTGCTGCGTGAAATGGGGCTGAAACGGCTGGATCACTACGCCATCTTCATGGAGAACAACAACCGCTACCTTGAGTGTTGTGCTGCCGGTGAACGCAGCGGGCTGTACTACACCTGCGTCAATCACTATCTGAAGGGTGATGAACTCGCTTACATACTGAACAACAGTGAATCGCGTGTGTTGATTGTTTCAAAAGAAAAGCTCGAGGTTGCTCTGGCGGCGCTGGCAGAGAGCCCTGCCATATCATTGTGCCTGGTGGTCGGCGCTGATGGTGATGATCTGCCCGATAAGCGCCTGGGTGGAACTGAGTTTCGTAGTTTTGAGGCGGCATTGGCCGATTATCCGACGACGCCTATCGAAGATGAGTCCCTCGGTACCTCGATGCTCTATTCATCCGGAACTACCGGCAGACCCAAGGGCATTCTGCGCCCGTTACCGGAAAACGAACCGGCAGATCCGCTACCATTATTTCACTTTCTGACGGACCTTTGGCAGTACCGTGAGGACATGATCTATCTGTCTCCAGCACCGTTGTATCACTCAGCGCCGCAGGCCGCGACCGGACTGACCATTCGCAAAGGGGGCACGGTTGTCATCATGGAAAGGTTTGATCCAGAAGACTATCTCCGCTACATCAGCGAATATCAGATCAGCCACAGTCAACTGGTGCCAACGATGTTCAGCCGCATGCTGAAACTGCCTCAGGACATTCGCGACAGCGCTGACCTGTCATCTCTGGAAATTGCCATTCATGCGGCTGCACCCTGTCCCGCCAAAGTGAAAGAACAGATGATCGACTGGTGGGGGCCCATCATTCATGAGTATTATGGCGCCACCGAAGGACTCGGATTCGCAGCGCTCAACAGCGAAGAGTGGCTCGCCAATAAAGGCAGCGTTGGTAAAGTGATTCTTGGTGAACTGCACGTGCTGGATGAAGAGGGCAATCCATGTCCGGAAGGCGTGCCCGGCGAGCTCTGGTTCAAGACAGCCACTGAGTTCAGTTATTTCAACAACGCTGCGAAAACCGAGGAAGCGACTTCCAGTGATGGCTCCCTGAGCACCGTAGGGGATGTGGGTTACCTGAAAAATGGCTATCTTTATCTGACAGACAGATCCACGTTTATGATCATCTCCGGCGGCGTTAACATCTATCCCCAGGAAACCGAAGACCTCCTGATCACGCATCCAAAAATTGCTGACGCTGCAGTGTTTGGTGTACCCAACGAAGATCTGGGCGAAGAGGTCAAAGCCGTTGTTCAATTGATGGAAGGCATTGAACCTTCTCCTGCGCTGGCTGACGAGTTGATGGCGTTCTGTGTGGAAAATCTGTCCAGGCAGAAAAGTCCGCGATCAATCGACTTTGAAGACGAACTACCCAGACTGCCCACAGGGAAACTCTACAAACGCCTGCTGAAGGATCGTTACTGGAAAGACCACGCCAGCGGTATTGTTTAGCCGAACCGGGCTGTCAGAAAAGTGAGCGATCCAAGCAACGATAGCGCCACGCCTGAAGCTACAGGCAAAGCGCCGCCCTGGGCTGCGTTCCGCTATCGCGATTATCGTTTACTCTGGAGTGCCATGGTCACGGTGTCCATCGTTTTCTGGATGCGCATCCTTGGTACTGCGCAGTGGCTGCTGGATGAAACGGGTTCTGCTGTACTCGTCGGCATGATTGGCGTTGTGCAACTGGTGGTGCAGATCCCTGCGCTGCTCTGGGGCGGGACGCTCGCAGATCGGGTAGATCGCAAGCGTCTTATCGCTTTGGCGAACGCGACAACGTCTGTAACGCTGTTGAGCCTGGGTGTTTTAAACCTGTATGGTCAGTTGAATCCCGTTCTCGTCTACGTGGGTATTGCGTTGACCGCAGCATCTCAGATGCTGGCGAACCCGGCACGTTCGGCGTTGGTGCCAATAGTGGTTCCCGAACGTATTCTGCTGGTTGCGGTTTCCACCGATACCGCGTCTGCGAATGCCGCTGCGATAGCGGGACCGCTGCTGTTCGCGGTGATCACCGTAAGCGCTGGTCTCAGTGCAACATTTTTAGTAGCTGGCAGCATTTCTCTTGTATCGTGTCTGTTGCCTCTGCTGATTAGAGCGAAAGGCACCGCTGACGGCCACGCGGAAGATGCGCCCACTTCGACGATACAGCAGACCATTGCGGGTCTGCGCTACGTGTCCCGTCATCCTATTTTACCGGGGCTGTTTCTGCTTGATGTGGGCATCACCACGGCTTCATTTTATCGTGAAATTCTGCCCGTTCTGGCTTTGGGTCTGTTTGCTGGTGGCGCCAGCGCAACCGGTATGTTGGGCGCGGCCAATTCCACGGGCGCCATTATCGGTTCGTTTCTGGCCCTGTTCCTGGTTGGCTATCGGGCCAAAGGCATGCTGGTTTTGTACGCCTCCTTTGCCTACGGTTTTATTCTATTCGGCTTCGGACTGGCAAACACCCTGTGGCTGGGCATAGTCATGATTGGTCTTCTGGGCGCCGCTGATTCAGTGACTGTTGCTGTACGTCAAACAACCGTCATGCTCACGACGCCCGATCACATGCGCGGGCGCGCGTTTGCGCTGATGGTTCTTGCTGCCCAGACGGCCAACAATATCGGTACGATCTGGGTAGGGGCCTGGGCTGGCGTCATCGGTGCGGCCAATACCATGCTCATGGGCGGCGTGATATCGATAGTGGCTACCGCGGTGATCTGGCGCGTCTGGCGCCCGATCCGGGAGTTTCGATCTTCCTGAAACAAATCAGAAAGACCTCGATCATCACCCCTCCTGTTCATCCTGAGGCTCAGTATTGTATGCTCACTGAAAATACATGTTAGAGGAAGGGGTTATGGCAAATAAGGGTTTACACCATCTGGGCCTGGCAACTCACGATATGGACGCTACCCTTGCGTTTTACGAAGATGTTCTGGGCTTTGAAACAAAGGTCTGTGATCTGATGCAGCCTCAGGCCGGCGGCACTATTCGGCATGCTTTTCTCGATGCGGGTAACGATGAGCTTATTGCTTTCATGGAATGTAATGATGTGCCGGGTATCCCCAACGATTTTGACACGGGATTAAATCGTGGGCTGGGCATTCAGGGTGGCGTTGTGCATTTTGCGTTTCGTGTTGACGATGAAGAAGAGTTGTCCAGCAAACGGGAAGAACTGGTGGCAAAAGGCGTGACTGTGACTGACGTTGTTGATCACGGTTGGTGTCAGTCGATCTATTTTCGCGACCCGAACCAGCTGCAACTTGAGTTCTGTTGTCTGTCACGCGAGTTTGGCGACGATTTGCTTGCGGATCGAACCAGCGCTGGATGGCAGGCATTGAGTGAATCGCCTTAAGCGTAACACATCCGTTTGGCAGCAGGTTTTCGCAAAGTGACATCCAGCACAGAAGAAATAGCAGCGATTCGCGCCCAGGCGCATATCCATCACGCCTACTTCCTTGGCTTGCAGTTGATGATTGCGACGCGCAAAGGGCCGCAAGTCATGGAGAAGTGGATGTTCAATCTGTTTCGCCGCCAGCATCTGGATAAATTTTTATCGAGCTTTGACAAGCTGGGGCTTTCAGATCTGCCCAACGCCGTGGCGTGCGCCAAGTACCATGTCTTATCTAACAACATAGGTGGTGTGGGCGTTGAATACATGGCTGAGTCCGACCGCAAAGCCTGGGTGCGCTTTCGTTACCCACGCTGGATGTACGCTGGTCCTGCCATTTGTGGTGTGCCGGTAGAAGTCAGTCGAGGCTTTCTTAACGGCTGGTATGCCTACAATGGCGTGTCCCTCGGTAATCCGCGTCTTGGATTTGTCTGCGTCTCCGAAGATATGACGGGGGAGTATGGTTTATGCGGGTATTTCTACGAATATGATCATGACCTGGCACCCCATGAGCGCCTGCAATTTGCCAAAGATGAACAACCGCCTGCCTATCTGCCCGAAGATCAACCCGAGCCGCCGGGTGATCAGTGGAATACGCTGCGCCTCGAAAAAGCCAATCGAAACTATGCCATGGAATATGTGCGCAATGGACTTTGTGAACTGCGATTGGTGATGGGTGATAACGAAACGTTAAAGTTGGGCAGTCTGGCTGCTCGGCTTATCGGACTGCAGTATTTTCAGGAAACGCTCAGCATGATTGGCGCGCAGGACGGTGATCTGAAGGCGGCTGGACACTACTTGAGTAGAATGTTGACCGGTATGGGTGATGACGTTCAACTCGTTAAATCAGACCTGCAAACTGATAGGTTCGAGGTAAGGCAAAAAGATCTGCGCATCGTGCGGGGCCTGCAAGGCGAAGAGCGATCGATGGTGCTGGCCTGCTGGATTGAACTATGGCGCGGCACGCTCGCTTCCCAGCAGCAACAGAAAAGTGCTGATGTGCAGATAAACGAAGACAGTCTGATCTGGAGCATCAACAGCTGATTCGACAACTTCCGTGTTGATTAAAGCGCGTGCAGGAACTCAACACAAAAGCGGGCGAGTTCGATGCGCCGTTGCAGCGAATTCATGATTGTTTCAGTGACCCGCGTGTGCACGGCGATCTCACCGCTCTGGTCGGCATCGGTAAGGTCCATGACAAACCCGTCCAACAAGTAGCCGTAGTGCCCGGCAACGGCGGGCGCGCTTGCGGGTACATTCAATTCCTGCATCATTTTTGCAGCGGGACCCTTGATGGCCATGCCGCCAACGATGGGTGAAACCGCAATAACAGGAATGTTCTGCAAGGCATCACGCATGCCGGGTAGCGACAGTAACGGATCCACAGACACATAAGGATTGCTGGGGCAGATGATCACGCCACGGCAGTCTTTCAGTGTTTCCGTAATAATCGGGTTTAAGTGTGCAGACTCAATACCTGCAAACTCAAAGCCGGAAACCGCGGGTCGGCATTGCTCCCGCACAAAATAGTGCTGAAAAGCCAGTGCACCCTGATCGCTGTGCACAATTGTGCGCACATGATCGTCAGTCATAGGGGCGATGGTATGCATTATGCCAAAAGCCCGGGTGATCTGTGCCGTTGCCTCGGTCAACGTTGAGCCCGAGCGCAGCAGTTGGGTGCGTTGCATGTGCAGCGCAAGGTCTTTGTCACCCAGGCGGAACCAGTCTTCACCGCCGAGCTGCCCAAGGGTTTCGATGAACTGCCAGGTCTCGCCTGCGCGACCCCAGCCAAGTTCGGTGTTGTTCTCTTCAGCCAGAGCGTATGTCAGGCTGTCGATATCCGGAGAGATGTGCAAACCCAGGTGTTCGAAGTCATCACCGGTATTTACCGCAAAAACCAGCTCTTCAGGACTGAGCACCTTGCTCAGCCCCAGCGCCAGTTTAGCGCCGCCAACGCCGCCGGTAATGGCGAGGATTTTACTCATTAGCGAAAGAGATCTTCTTCTATCGGTCGATTGATGATGGCTGCGCTCTGCCCCTCAGTATCAACATCCGGTGCGAAACCCCGCACGATGGCAAGCGGGATCTTTTCAGTGGTTTCACCCATGACCAGCGTTGCGGCGCCGGCAATGGCGTCTGCCCGATTAATAAGGGTGACTTTAAGTTCGCGTCCGTAAACGTCGTTGCCACCGCGGTAATCTTCCAACACGGTGAAGCCCGCACAACCGATAGCAACACCGGTTGTACCCATGCGCCAGGGACGATTCTGGCTGTCTGTAATCACCACGCCCACCTGAACACTGTTGTTGGCAGCTAAGTCTTCACGCAGGCGCTGTGCGCTTGCATCCGGATCTTTGGGTAACAGCAATGCCTGTTCACCTTCGCTGTGATCAACATTCGACTGATCAATGCCCGCATGGGCACCGACCAAACCGAGCTTGTGTCGCATGATGAGCACGCCGGGCTTGTGCCGCATCACCTCGCTGCTTTCGCGCAGGATGAGCTCAACCATGCGTGGGTCTTTGAGGGTTTTTTCTGCCAGCTCAACCGCTTCTTCAGACGGTGTAACGTCGGCGAGGGCCACCAGCTGGCCTTCAGCTTTAGAAACAATTTTTTGCGCCAGGCAAACGATATCTCCGTCCACAAGGGTGACGTTTGCCGCGCTTAATGCAGCGCGGATAATTTCACCCAGGTCATCTCCCGGCTGCACCATGGGTACGCCGGGTATGGGAATGACGGAAAACCCCGTGGTCACAGCCTCAGTGTTCCTGACCAATAATTTTGATCCCGGAGTGTGACACGATGCCGCTGCGATTGATCTGAATCAGAATCGACGTCAGGGCTTCTGCCGCTGCAGAGTTGGCAATAGGTCCTGCGTGCCATGCGGTCATACCCGCGGCTTTGGACAGTTCGATGACCTTTTCACGAGCAGCTTTTTTGTTGCCGGAAACCAGTACGTCGCACTCAATCTCCACATCCTGCTGCAACAGGTGTGCGGCGATGTTCTGATAGGCGGTCACAACCATGACTTCTTCGCCGAGGAAATCCTGCGCCCGTTTACCCGCGCTGCCTTCTGCAGGCAGCTGTACGGTGCCGACTTTTGGTGGCACGAGAGGCACTGTGACATCGATGAGAATTTTGCCCTGCAGGTGGTCTTTGACGTAATCCAGGGTAGAAATCTGATGTTCTGCAGGCACGGTTAACACAACGATGTCGCCCGCAGCAGCTGCATCGAGGTTCTCCATGGCAACAGCAGGCGTGTCGGGGCTGATTTTATGCAATGCATCTACAGCGGTTTGTGCTTTTTCCAGCGTGCGCGAACCGATCACAATTTTGTGACCTGCTTTAGACCAGCGTATGGCCAGACCTGTACCGAGGTCACCTGTGCCACCCAAAATGGCAATGGTTTCTTTATCAGACATGTTGTTATCCGGTGATTAGAAGAGAAGGCGGCGGATTATGCCGTTTTTGTGCCTTGAATTAAAAGCCACAGTGAGTGAGCCTAGCGTCAAGGTTTTACACGATTTGGGAGAAAAATGATGAAAATTGGTGTGATGATTGGTGCGGATGGCGTCAGCAATACCCTCGATGACGTGATTGCAGTGGCCAAAAACGCGGAAAACGCGGGTCTCGACAATGTCTGGCTGGCGAATATCTTCAGTTTTGATGCCATCACTACGCTGGCCTTGATCGGTCGGGAAACTCAGCGCATTGGTCTGGGGACTGCGGTCACGCCAACTTACCCACGCCACCCAACAGCCATTGCACAGCAGGCTTTGACCACGGCCGCTGCCACCAACAACCGTTTTACTCTTGGCATCGGTCTTTCCCACAAAGTTGTTATCGAGGATATGTTGGGCATGTCGTACGATAAGCCTGCTAAACATATGCGTGAATATCTGAGTGTGCTGATGCCGCTGGCCCGCGGTGAACAGGCCAACTTTGAAGGTGAACAGTATCGCGTGCGCGGCGTGGCACTTGATGTACCCGGGGCAGAGCGCTTGCCGGTTGTCATTGCAGGCTTGGGTCCGGTGATGCTGAAGCTGGCTGCCCAATTGGCTGATGGTACCAACACCTGGATGGTGGGTCCAAAAACCATGGATGGCCATATTCTGCCTGCCCTGCATGATGCCGGTAACGCTGACCCAACCGTTGTTGCAGGCATGCCTATTGTGCTGACCACTAACGTGGACGCGGCTAAAGAGAAGATTGCCAAGGAACTCACTATCTATGGCCAGCTGCCCAGCTATCGCGCCATGTTAGATCGTGAAGGGGCTGCAGGACCGGCAGATATCGCCATTGTTGGAGATGAAAATCAGCTGCGCGGTGAAATCAAACGCTTTGCGGACATGGGTGTGACCGACTTCAATGCGGCCATCATGAATACTGAAGCTGGCGCCTACGACCGCACGCTGGAGTTTCTCTCCAGCATAAAAGGCTAGGGATCGTCTAGAACATGGCGTTTGTTCTGGGGTTGCTGAAGGACGTTGTACGCATTGTTTTTCTGCGGGGCTCACCGGAACGCATTTATTACACGCAGCGGCTGGGGCGATATTCGGTGCTGCTGGCGGTGGTCGTCAGCGCCGCAACCCAAGCCGTCTATTTCCAGGACAACGTGGTGTTTGTGATACTGCGTGTGTTTGCTGAAGTGACCATGTTCATGCTGATGATGGTACTGCTGACTGCCAGGATTAGCCGCCTGCGTCTGGCTAAAGTTCTACTGACCTTAGTGTTGATCAGCCTGCTGACCGACAGCGTACTCACGCTGTCAGGTGTTGGTCTGAATCTGGCATCCATAGAACTGAGTCTGCGCGCCTTACCCGCGTACCTGCTGGCCGCGTTTGCCCTCTACGGCGCGTCCAGCGTTGTCGCCTGGGGTTTGAACAAGCCGCTGGTGCAAGGTGCTGGCGTAATGGGTGTATACGTTGTGGCGGTGCTGGCTCTGGATATGTCGTTCCAACACCTTTATCAAATGATCGCGGCAGGTTAGCTTGAATGGCTTGACAAACATAGCCATGGCGCTGGATACCTTGCCGGATTACGGCAGGGTGATGCTGCTGGCGTTCCTGCTGACGCTGGTCCTCTATGGGTTTACCCGCTTGTTACCAGGCGACATGGGTTCAACGTTGCAGGTGCTGTACCGCAAAGGCGCCTTGTTGGCTCTACTGGGTGTACCCATGGCGGTTTACCTGATCAATGTGCAGGTGCCTGTGCCAGTTGATGAATATCAATCCTACAGCACGCCCGTACCCGGTTACCTCGCTGGTGTTTTTTTGCTGATCTGGCTGATGGGTGTGTTTTATCACCTGCGCATCGCTGTTGGCGTGGTGCAGCAAACAACGACGGCTTTGAGCGAGCACACAGGTGGGTCGGCAAACATAGTTGCACGCTGCACGCACTGGCAACAGCGACTTGCCTACCCTCAGCCGGTTCGTGTCTGCGTAGGTGGTGCTGAACAAGCCTGGCATGTTGGTCCCTCACGCCTGCAAAATCGTACTGCGGTGATCTGTTTGCCTGCGGCGGCTGCAAACTGGCCCGCAGGATTAGTAGATGTTTTGTTACTCAGCCAGCTGGCTCAGCTTAAGCAGAGTACCTGGCGCTGGTTGGTGTTTGGTCGTCTGGTACAGGCTCTTTATTGGCCTGCCCCCTGGGTCAGCGAACTGGTACAGCAACTGGCCCAGCACCTGGTTGAACCTGCAGAGCGGCTTGCTGCGTCAGCATATCGAGACAATGAAGGCTGGGCACGGGATGTGCGCAAGCTGATCAAGCGAACGGATACTTTGCAGGACATTCCGGCGCTTGAGACCAGAGGGCTGCTGCGAACGCCAAGTCGTGGCGTGCATTGGCTGCCGCCAAAACCGCAGGTCGACAGGGTGCGGGTTGATGGGGTCGTATTTGAAGAGAAATGGGCCGGCACCAAGCGGCGCAGGAAAGACAAAATCCGAGACCCCTACGAGCAGGCGTACTGGCTGATCGCAGTCGCATCAATTGTGGTAGGCGTGTCGACCACGCTTACCGTTGTGCAGCGGGCGCCTGAGTTTGAGCCGAAGTATCTGAATGTGAAATGGCAGGATCAGATGGTCCGTCGGTTATATGACGAATCTATTGCGCCCGAGTCAGCACCCGTTGCAGAACAGAGCCAGATAGATACTGCTACGGCAGCACAGTAAGTGCTGGTGTTGATGGTAAATAGTCAGGTTCCACGCGCGATTCAATGCGAACGGCGATATGATGGATGGTAACTGCAGCAAACACTGACTGAGGATAACGATATGAGCGCAATAGATGATTTTTTAGCTAACAATGCAGCGTACGCGACAGACTTTTCCAAAGGGTCACTGCCCATGCCACCGGCGAAACAGATTGCGGCGGTTGTTTGTATGGATGCGCGTATGGAAACAGGTGCGATGCTGGGTCTCGCAGAAGGTGACGCCCACGTGATTCGAAATGCGGGTGGCGTTGTAACAGACGATGTCATTCGTTCGCTGACGATCTCTCAACGGCTGTTGGGTACCCGGGAGATCATGCTCATTCACCATACGGATTGCGGCATGCTTACCTTTACCGATGCCGATCTGAAACAATCAATTTTCGACGAAATCGGCATGAAGCCACCGTTTGCGTTGGAGGCATTTGATGATATCGATGTCGACGTACGCCAGTCTCTCGCAAGAATTAAGGCCAGTCCGTACATCCCCCACAAAGACCAGGTTCGAGGCTTTGTTTATGAGGTGGAGAGTGGGCAGCTCAGAGAGGTCGTTTAACTGGCTTTATGGCGCGGTCTAAACACCTTGGTATTGCAGCCGTGCAACCCGCCTGCATCGCTTGCGACGTTGCGCGTAATGCGGACCTGCATGCTGAGTTAATCCGCGCAGCAGATGCTCGCGTTGTCGTATTTCCCGAGATGTCGATTACTGGATACGAGCTTGCCGCAGAAGTGGTTGATCCAGAGGATGCTCGACTTGAATCTATTGTCAGTGCCTGTGCCGACACAGGCGCGCTCGCGCTTGTCGGTGCGCCTACGCGGAGCGATCTAGGAGACCACATCTCGATGCTGTGTGTTGCAGGCAGCGGCGTGACCGTGGCGTACAGTAAAATGTGCTTGTCAGCGACTGAGGCAGAACGTTTCTGCGCTGGTAACAGCCCCGTGGTTATCGATGTGGATGGTTGGCGGCTGGGGCTTGGGATCTGTAAAGATACAGGTGTGCCAGCGCATGCCCAGTCAACGGCGGATATCGGTATGGATATCTATGTTGCAGGGGTATTGGACTCGGTAGAAGAATCTTCAATTCAGTTGGAACGTGCGCAACTTATCGCGGCGCATCACGGAGTCTGGGTGGTGTTTGCAAGTTTTGCGGGCGCCACGGGTGGCGGTTATAGTCATGCTGCGGCACAATCGCGAATCTGGGCGCCCGATGGTGCTGTACTGGCATGTGCTGGTGAGGAAGCAGGTGGTATTGCTCGTAGTTCTCTGGGCTGAGCACGGTAAAATAATGAAGCTCTAGACAAGGAAAGTAACCCGCTCATGAATAGAATTGTAAACGTCTGCACACTGCTGGTTTTGTTTCTGCTGTCGTCCACGGTGGCTGCACAGGACAAACCCAATGTTGTTCTGGTGGTGATGGACAATCTTGGCTGGGGAGAAATTGGTGTCTATGGCGGTGGCATTTTGAGGGGCGCACCGACACCTCGGCTCGACGAACTTGCTGCTGAAGGTATGCAGTTCCTGAACTTTAATGTTGAGACGCAATGCACACCGAGTCGCTCAGCATTGATGACTGGACGTCATCCGGTCCGATCTGGTACCACCAAGGTAGTCTGGGGGCAGTTGTACGGTTTAACTCAATGGGAAAAAACCATTGCTTAGCTGCTCTCGGGCACCGGCTACGCAACCGGGATGTTCGGCAAGTGGCACCTTGGCGAGGTTGAAGGTCGTTTCCCCACAGACCAGGGTTTCGATGAATGGTATGGCATTGCCAACACCACAGATGAGGCGACGTATTCTGCAGGATTTCAGTTCGATCCTGAGGTTGTCGAGACACCACATATTCTAGAGAGCACCAGAGGGAAAAAGCCGAAAGAAGTAAAGGTTTATGATCGGCAGGCGCGCGCTGAAATTGATTCCGATCTAACGGATCGAGCGATCAGGTTCATGCAGCGTAGCGTGAAAAGCGACAAGCCCTTTTTTGCATATATTCCGTACACACAGGTGCACCTGCCGACGATACCGCATCCCGAATTTTCCGGTACCACGGGTAACGGTCGTTGGGCCGACGTGTTAACTGAAGTAGACAGTAGGGCCGGACAGCTGCTGGATGCGATTGACGACCTTGGTATTCGGGACAATACCGTTTTCATCTGGATGAGTGAAAACGGCCCGGAAGAGATCTATCCTCACCACGGAACCTCTGGGCCTTGGCGTGGCACATACTTCACAGCGCTCGAAGGTTCTCTGCGGACGCCATTCCTGCTTCGCTGGCCTGGAAAGGTCGAAGCTGGGTCGAAACACAATGAGATCATGCACATCACCGATCTTTATCCAACGCTTGCTCGAATTGCGGGAGCAGCTGCGCCAACTGATCGTGCAATCGACGGCCTGGATCAGCTCGATTTTATTACTGGTAAGGCTGAGCGATCGGCGCGGGACGGTTTCCCTGTCTATAACGGAGATACGCTTCAAGGGTACAAATGGCGCAACTGGAAACTGCACTTTAAAACTCAGGAAACGATGGGGTCGGTCATTGAACAGCCTGGTATGCCGCGACTGTATAACCTGCTCACGGATCCGAAGGAGCAATACGATCTCATCGCGCACGGTGGGCGGGATGGTGAAGACAATTTCTGGGTAATGCCTGCGATAATGAAACTGCTGATGAAACACGCAGAGAGCCTTGCTGCAGAGCCGCCCATTCCGTTAGGAACGCCGGATCCTTATGAGCCAGCCAATCCTTAGCCGTCGTTAGAAACGGGATATCGTATCAGCGTCGAAGTACGTGATTGCACTCGTCCAAACACATTTACTGTTTGAGCGCCGAACGCCTCGCTAAAGCGACCACTTAATGCCGGCAATAAATCGTGAGCGGAATTCGGTGCCGTCGTAGCGAACAAACCAGTCCCAGCGTGAGTCACCAAAAGCACTGGTCAGTTCCGCCGTCACCCCGTGTCCAGGGCCGAGAAAGTCTTCGGTGAGGTCTGCCCGTTCCCCGAAGTTGTCGCTGACATATGCGTATAGTGCAGTGAACTCGGTAGCAACGCCGAACAGTTCCAGTTCTGTGTCGATGCCAAGGATCACCTTTCTGGCCGATTCGTCCAGGCGATACACAAGTTCTGCGAAGCCGGTGTAATGCGGGCTGAGCGCATGGCGGATCTCTGTGCGAAAAAAGTTCGCCTCTGTCATGCGCTCCACACTGAATTCGTAACTGGTTTTGTCGTTGAAATCTGCCGAGTATTCCATTTCCAGATAGTCGACAGCCGTAGGCAGTTCGAAAGCATCCGCTGGATCGGTTGAATCCAGTTGTCCAACAACAAGCTCGAGGCGTGCGCTGGGTTCCAGGTTGCGCACATAGCGAATACCTTGAATCCAGCCATCTTTAGATAAACCGGATGACGATACGCTGCCTTTGTAGGTTGGAATTACGCCAATCTCGCTTTTCCCGTAACGACCTTCATGGCGTAGGTACGCGCGTCTGACGTAGAGATAGTCAGCAGCCCCATCATCGAAGGTGTTGTGGCTGGACCCAAATTCATCGCCGGTTACAACAAAGGCATGTGCGCTCAACACTTCGTTAAATTTAACTGAGGGGTAATAGCGGGCACGGTATTGATAGCGAAGCTGGGCGGAAGAGCGTTCATCAGCACGAACTTGTAAGTCCAGCTTCTGATGAAATTCAATTGCCATAGCATTCATAGAAAACTGAGCGGCAAAAAAAACGCAGAGCGCCCAGCCCAGTCTGGTGATGTATTGGCTAGCCCCTGTGTGCATCAAACTCACACAACCCAGTTAAGTCGCTGGTTGATCTGCGGAACGTACTTGAAGAGTAGTGGTTTGGAATTGGCTTGCGTTTGCAACGGGCTGGACAGCTCGATTTCCAGAATCGCGCGAGCTTCAATGTCCATGGTTCCGACGCGATTGCAAATGACATAGTTAATCTTCTTCGTATTCATTTTTTATAGCAAGCATCAGCTCTTTTCATCACGGACCTGTGCAAAATAATCTGCCCGGCGCTTGCCGCTTTCGTCGGGGAACTGAGTAGCCAGGGTACGTGCTTCTACAATGCGATCAATGCGGAAGCTGCGGAAACTCTGGCGCAGCTCGCACCAGCAGCCTACCATCCAGGTATGTCCCCAATACATTAAGCTCAGCGGCCAGACGATTCTTTCTGTTGGGTGCTCTGCGGCATCCTGGTAGGCGATGTACAGGCGCTTGCGATCATTGATCGCATCTCTTACGGCACCCAGGTGGGTTGTGGTCAGTTCACTCTGGGCGCTGGCCATCTCCGGCACAATCAGCGCTTCGGACTGTAGCAGCGGACGCAGGCTGTCCGGCAGAACGGCATCGATTTTGTCGAGGATGCGCTCAGCCGCTGCCGCCATATCGTGGTCCCCCCAGCGGGTAGCCACCTGGGCCCCGAATATCAGGGCCTGGATCTCGTCCTGGTCAAACATCATTGGCGGTACCTGATAACCGCGATGCAGGCGGTAGCCCACCCCAGCTTCCCCATCAACAGGGATGCCCGAGGCCATCAGATTCTGGATATCGCGATAAATTGTCCGTTCACTGACTTCCAACCGCTCAGCTAACGTATGCGCGGTCAGTACTCGACCGCGGCCGAGTTGCAGGACAATCTGGAATAATCTGTCAGCAGGTCTCATAGCCGTATATTAGCAGAGCTGCGCCGGTATTCAGGCACCCTACTGACATACCGTTGTCAGCAGATATCCCATGATCAGGCCGTTTTGAAGACGGTACTGACACCACGCTGTCAGGAGGTGTCATCTAGTATGGCAACTTCTTACGGTGAGTTATGCAGGTGATGACGATGATTTCAGCGACACAATTCCGAGCCAATTTCCGACACTTTCCCAAACGCTTGTTGCTGGTTTTTCTGTCGATCACCCAGCGGCGCCAGCGGCGACGTCTGTTGATCTGGGATCCGCAGACCCTATCGCCCGTAGATGTTTGTGTTTCCTCAGAGGAGCCAGTTGCACAGTAACGATTGTTCCTTGCGCGTGCCTGTGGCTAAGTTGACGTTTTTGCAAGGAGAGAGTCATGTTGCGCGATTTAACAGGGAAGGTGGCTTGGATCACGGGAGCAGGCACAGGTATTGGCGAAGGTGCTGCCATTGCGCTGGCTGAGGCAGGTATGCAGGTCATCTTGTCGGGTCGCAGGCTGGAAAAGCTGGAAACTGTGGCGGCGTCGTGTGCGGGCAACACCAGAATCGAAGTCCTTGATGTGGCGGACAAAGATGCGGTCGTGGCGGTTGCTGAGCGAATAGTGGCCGAATATGGCCGCATCGATGTTCTGGTGGCGAGTGCCGGTATCAATGTCAAAGATCGAAACTGGCATAACGTCACTTATGAAGACTGGGATCGTGTTATCCGTATTGATCTGGATGGTGCTTTTTATTGCTGTAAAGCGGTTTTACCGACCATGAAAGCGCAAGGTGAAGGGCTGATCATCAACATCTCCAGCTGGGCGGGTAAACATGTCAGCGTGGTCACTGGTCCCGCTTACACCGCCGCCAAACACGCCATGAACGCCATGAATGAAAGCATCAACATGGAAGCCTGCATCTATGGCGTTCGCGCCTGTGCGGTTTGTCCAGGAGAAGTGGCTACGCCGATCCTCGACAATCGGCCGATTCCGGTCAGCGACGAAGATCGCGCGCAGATGGTTCAGGCTGAAGACTGTGGTGAAGTGATCCGCTTTCTGGCGCAACTCCCACCACACGTGTGTATCAATGACCTGACCATCAGCCCGACATGGAACCGCGGCTATGTTGCGGCGGCGAAGTCACAACTACCGGTTTAGAGCGTCAATCTCAGGGATCAGCTTTTCCACCATCAGGCGCGTCTGGCTGATCATATCTTCGGTGCCTGCCGCAATTGGGCGCAGGATAAACTTGTGCACGCCTGCCGTGCGGAAGTCGTGCACCAGCGCCATCATGTCGCTGACATCGCCTACCGCACTGTACCCGGAGGCGGGTTTACCCAGGCGTTTGCTTAACAGCGTCTGATAACGTTCAACAATAGGTTCATCTGCTCTGCCAAAGCGGAAGCCGAAGCCCGCGCCGAAATGGTCATCATCAATATGCCGATCAAGTTCGTTTGCGCGGCTTTTGATCGCGCTGATGACAGGTGCTATTTCCGCAGCGGTTTCTATGCCGGCCTGCCAGCCCGTGGCCCACCTGGCGGTGCGTTCAATCGCCTGTTGTGCTGAGCCGCCTGTCCATAAAGGAATGGGCTGTTGCACGGGTTTGGGAGATATCGTGGCGCCTTTGAGCTGATAGTACTGCCCCTCAAAATCCACGTTATCTTCACGCCACAGGCGCGACATGATTTCCAGGCCTTCGTCCGTGCGTTTGCCGCGACCTCTGGTGGGTGTGCCGGTGGCAGTGAAGTCTTTGGAGAGGGCGCTGCCGACGCCAAAGGCGGGTAGCAGTCTGCCGTCGCTGAGAACATCGATGGTGGCGCACTGTTTGGCCATCAGCACCGGGTTGCGCAGACCCAGGCTTGCGACGTTCATACCGAACTTGAGTTTCTTGCTGCCGCCGGCCAGTGCGGCCATAACGCTCATGGTTTCAAGGTTGGGTGCCGCATCAATAATGCGATCACTCTGCCAGATAGAATCTACGCCGCCGTTGTCACACAGATCGACCCATCGCCAGAAGCCTCTGGCGTCATCGAAGGTGAAATTGGCAATCCCAATGCCTGCGCCTATACCCATATATGTTCTCCCAGCAGTTTCGGTGATTTGTTAATTAATGTGCTCGCGTCGATCAAGGTGGTCGCGTAGCCGATCCCCAAGGGTGTTAAAGCTCCAAACAGTGATGCCCAGGCATAGTGCAGGAAATAATAACATCCAGGGTGACGATTCCATGGCTGCGGTGCCGTCCGAGACCAGCACACCCCAACTGGTTTGTGGTTCGGCGATACCCAGACCCAGAAAGCTGATAAAACTTTCAGCCAGAATGACAGCCGGTATGGCCAGCGTTGTGTAGACAATCACAGGGCCAATTACGTTTGGTATGACATGTTTACGCAGGATGTAGGGCGTAGATAGTCCCATTGCTCTGGCGGCTTCTATAAATGGCGCATTGCGCAGACGTAGCGTCTGTCCGCGTACGATGCGGGCGATGGTCAGCCAGGAGATGGCGCCCAAAGCAGCAAACAGCAGGTAGGGATTCCGACCAAACAAGACAACTAACAGAATGACAATCAGAATGCCCGGCAGGCAATACATCCCATCTACAAAGCGCATCATCAGCTGGTCTATTCGACCACCGGCAAGACCGGCCGCTGCCCCCCAGGGTATACCGATTGCAAGACTCACAGTTACTGCGATGAAGGCCACCAGAAAAGATACGCGGGCCCCTTCCATAGTGCGTACAAAAAGGTCTCTGCCAACCTGGTCGGTACCAAACCAATGGCTGAGGGATGGTGGTGCTTCCAAGGCCTCAAAATCCATTGCTTCACCGTCCCACGGACTGATCACCGGTCCCAGAACAGCGCCAGCGAGCATCAGCAGCAATAGCGCTGCGGCAATGATGACCAGCGGCGAAGACTTGAAAAACTGTTGGCCTGACAGCTTCATGCCTGTGTAACACGAATACGTGGATCAATCAGGCCATACGCCACGTCGACCAGCAGGTTGAAGGACAGAATGGCAAAGGAATAGACAATGGTGACGCCCATGACCAGCGTGTAGTCGCGATTCAGGGCACCTTGAACGTAGTAACGACCGATGCCGGGAAGATCGAAAATCTGTTCTGCAACTACCGAGCCGGTCAGCAGCCCCGCCATAGCTGGCCCCAGGAAGGATAACAAGGGGATCGACGCGGCGGGCAGAAGGTGCATAAACACGATTCTGGTTTTTGTCAGGCCTTTGGCTTTAGCTGTTTTAACAAACGGTTCAAGGTTGGTTTCGGCAATGCCACCGCGCATGATCCGCGCAATCTCAGCGCTCAGTGGAAGACCCAGCGCCAGGGCGGGTAAGACAAAGTGCCACCAGGTGTCGGCACCACCGGCCGGGAACCAGGATAACGTGACGCTGAACAGCAGCACCATCAGCGGTGCGGCAACAATGGTCGGTACGGCAATGTTTAAATTGCTCACTGCCATCAGCAACGTATCTAATAAACCTCCGGGTTTAAGCCCGGCAACAATACCGATGGATAACCCCAACAGCAGTGCGCAGGCGAGGGCGCCCAGGCCTAACATCAGACTCACAGGTAAACCCGCACGGATGAGTTCGTTCACATCGAAATCTTTCTGTGTGAATGATGGTCCCAGATCCCCTTGCGTCAGATTGAAAATAAATCGGCCGTACTGAGAAATAAGCGGCGCATCCAGGTTGTAGGCCGCTTTGAGATTGGCTTCGATTTCTGGTGGCAGACGGCGCTCCCCGTCAAATGGACCGCCCGGCGCCAGGCGCAACAGGAAAAACACCACGGTGATGATGACAAACAGTGTTGCACCAGCAAATAACAGGCGTTTCAGGATGTAGCTGGTCATTGCTGCTGCAGTTGCGAGTCTATTCTACCCAACGCAGATACCGGATCTGATGCACGTCGCGCAGGTTGTTTTCCCAGCCGGATATCTGTTGTGAAACAAGCCGTCGCACACTTACCGTATACAACGGTACAACCGCGTAAGATTCGACGACATAAGCTTCTGCAGCTGCCAGCTGTGCATTACGCTCTGCTGCATCGGCAAGTTGTTGCGCGGCTTTGATCATGTCATCGAACCTGGGGTCAGCAAAACGGCCATAGTTGACGTTGCCGATATCTGATTGCAGCAGCGTAAGGTAGTGCTCTGCGTTGTTTTCGCCCACCCAACCCGCCCAGGCGACGTCGAAGTCACCTTGACGAAGATCCGCAAAATGGTTGCGTAGCTCAGCCTGCTGTAGATTCGCGATAACACCAATCTGGCGCCACATGCCGGTAATCGCCAGGTTAACCTTTTTCCCTTCTGCACCGCTGACATGACGGAGTGTTAACTTCAAAGGGTTGGATGTGTTGTAACCGGCAGCGCTCAGCAACGCTTTAGCTTTCTGTAGCCGTTCTTCTCTGGCTTCTCCGATATGCGGCAGGGGTGTGGTTTGATAATCTGCGATCAGGTTCGGAACAAAGCTGTAGGCCGGCTTGTTGCCAGAGCGCAGCACCTTGTCAGTCAGAATATTCTGGTCGATTGCCAGCGTAAGTGCCTGTCGGACTCGGGTGTCATTAAAAGGCACTTTTTCGGTATTGAATACCAGATACATCATCGAGAGAAGGTCGGATAGATGTAGCTCGTTGGGGTAGCTGGTTTTGACGCGGTCAAGTTCGCCCACAGGAAACGACCCAATCACGTGTAGTTCCTCGTTGCGAAAACGATTATACGCGCTCTGTTCGTTCACCACGGGCAGGTAGCGGACGTTTTCGATGGGCGCCGGTTGATAAAAATGTGGATTTGCCTGCATTTCCACAAAAGCCTGCGGCTGCCAATCCGCCAGCTTATACGCGCCGTTGCTTACCCAGTTGGCGGGTTTCACCCAGTCCTCACCATGGGTTTCGATAACATGTTGTGGCACGGGGAAGGCCGTGGGGTAGAGTAGGCGTTCCAGCAGATAGGGGTATGGTTGGCTCAGTTCGATCACAAAGGTGCGCGCATCTGGTGCTGAAACGCCCAGCGCGCTGACCGGCAGCTCTCCCCGGTTCACCTCAGGTGCGTTCTTGACCATGTACATGAAGTAGGCAAGGCTTGCCGCCGTTGCAGGATCCTGCAGCCGCTGTGAGGCGTAAACAAAGTCTGCTGCGGTTAACGGTTGACCATCAGACCACTTCAGGTTGTCCCGCAGGGTGAAGGTCCAGGTCAGGCCATCTTCGCTGGTCTGCCAGGACTGCGCTGCCCCTGGTACGATTTCGCCGGCAGCGTTGAAGGTGGTCAGCCCGAGAAACAGATCGTTTAATAGCGTTTCTTCCAGCCGCAGGTTGTAGCGGTGTGGATCCAGAGTCTGCGGCTCGCCGGCGTTGCCGATGGTCAACACGCGCTCGCTTGCGGTGACCGTATAGGGCAACAAAAGGGGTGACAGCAGCAATAGTCCCAGCAAGCCCAGGAAGACGGGGCGAGACCAGTTGCTTAACAAAGTTTGAGACATAACAACACCTGTACAACGAAGCCGCACCATACTAAAAAGTGACGCGAATTATCATCTCACCGTGGTCTGCTGCGGTTATGTATTAAAAGACTAAGGATACCCCAATGGATCTAGTGGCCGACATTGGTGCTACTAACGCTCGTTTTCAATGCCTGGAGAAGGATCAGTTGGTGGGTGATGTTGTGACCCTGCCTACTGTCGATTTTGCTGATGGCGCAGATCTGTTAAGACATGCCGCAGAAGTGTTGGGGCAGAAGCGCTTTGACGCTGCTCTGCTGGGGATTGCGGGACCCATTGCGCTCGGTGGGGACCACATGGAAGTGACCAATACCGGCCTGCAGATTGGCCAGCAGTCTGCCGCGTCGGTCTTAGGCTGCACACCCTATCTGGTGAACGATTTTTTTGCCCTGGCCCACGGGGTGCCGCACTTCAGTGCATTTGAGCAGATGGGTGGCGGCGCAGTGCTGCCGCTGACAAAGGCTGTCCTGGGGCCCGGCACGGGTTTGGGTATGGCAACATTGGTTCCTCTCGCATCGCATGCTGATCCTCAGGCATGGCAGATTCTTGCTTCCGAGGGTGGCCATGCAGATCTTGCACCGGGTAGTCATCTGGAAGTGGAGTTGTGGGGGCGCCTAGCCACCAGTCACAGTCCGGTTTGCTGGGAGACTGTGTTGAGCGGCCGTGGATTGGGCAACCTTTATGAAGCAATGTCTGCGGTGTGGGGTGTGCCTGCAAAAGATCTGACTCCGGGGGAGATTCTTTCTTTGGGAGACAATATGCAGGATCCCGTCTGTCACCAGACGCTGGAAACGTTCTGTGCATTGTTGGGTTCGGCGGCGGGTAATCTCGCTTTGATTGTAGGAGCAACCGGTGGGGTTTATCTGGCCGGCGGGATTCTGCCCCGTATGTTGGATTTTGTGCGTAGCAGCCCGCTGCGACGGCGGTTCGAAGAGCGGGGTGATTTAAGTGCCTATGTACAACAGATTCCGCTGCTGGTGGTGACTGAACCGGAGCCTGGCATCCTAGGCGCCGCCCACTGTCTCAGAGCCTTATCAAAATGAACGGCGCCGCCATCAGTCTTGCGGCCCAGTGTTATTCTTCCCCGAACACCTCGATGGCTGCGTTTACAAACTTATCTAACGCCCAGGTCTTGCCGTTCGGATCGACACCTGTGCGCACGATGACCATTTCCTGGCTTGGGATGATGGTTACAAATTGCCCTTTGTTTCCCGCCGAGGTGTAGGTGCCGGCTGGGACACCAGGCAGACTGTCCAGCAGCCAGAACTGCGCGCCGTAACCTCGCTTGCCCGGGCTTCTGGGCAGTGCAGGGGCTGCCTTTGCCGCATAGTCTGTCCAGCCAACAGGTAATATCTGCTGACCTTCCCAGATGCCTTTATTTAAATACAGAAGGCCAAATCGAGCCAGGTCCCGTGCGGTGGTATAGACCTGGCTGGAGCCGATAAAGTTTCCCTGGTGATCCATTTCCATGCGCGTGTGATACATGCCTATGCGGTGAAACAATTTGTCGTAGGGGTAGCGCAAATATGCCAGATCATCGTCCAGCGTGGCACGCAAGCCGCGCAGCAGCAGCAAAGTGTCATTGTTAGCGTACTTCCAACGGGTATTCGGCTCGGCTTCAAGATGGGTTGTGGTTGCGGCGCTGATCACGTCCTGGCCAGCAAAATACATGGCGTTGGTGTTTGCACCCTGGCTATACAGGCCGGACGACATATGTAACAGGTGTTCGTAAGTGATGGCTTGACGTGGATCGTTGAAAAAACGCCATTCCGGAATATTGGCCGGCGCATTGATATCAATGAGACCGTCTTTGGCGGCAATACCCATCAAAGTAGCGGAGATACTTTTTGCTGTAGACCACGTGCGATACCCACTGTGGATGCCAAAGCCTTTGCGGTATTGTTCTGCCACCAGCTTGCCTTTATGCACAATGGCAATGCCTACGGTCACGGTGTCTTCACCAAAGGTCTGCCTGTCAAAAGCCTGGTTCAGGAGCGCGCGCGCCTGTCGATCTGGTTTCACGTCAGCTTTGTCACCTGACGGGAACGCCACTGAATCCAGAGACGGCGCGGCTGGCAAGCTGATGTAAGGCAGCCGCCCAACATCAGCTTCGGTCCAGGTGGGCGGTAGAAGTGTGCAGCCGACACTGGGACGGTAGGCAGCAATGGCGGTGAAGCCTTTGCCATCACGCGCACGGACAAGCTGCCTCTGCTGGTCGATTTCAGGCGGAGGTAAATCAAACTCAGCCATATCTGCCAGTTCTACGTCGATGATATCTGCCAGCTCGCGCTGGGCAACAAAATGCGCAGAGCAGGTGAATAGTGCCTGGTAGCCCGCGGCCACTTCCTGCATCTCCGCAGCACCTGCGGGACGGACAAAGTGGTCGTTTGTCTCATATTGATCTGCCCACAGTGGGGCTGCAGCGAGCAGAACTAAATGAGTGAACGAAAGTTTGTTACCCATCAGTCTGCACCCGTCCTCTGCTCTGAATATCTTTGCGCCGCTGGGCAACTTTATCTGCGCGTACCTGGCTTTTCGAATGCGCGCGGCTGGCGGTGTCTTCCAGTTGCAGGCCCTCGTCCAGCGTCGCAGCCCAGCCGGCGTCCATGATCCGACGGATTTCGCCGCGAGTGACTGGGTCGGTGCTGACGATATCCCGTGCCAGGGCTTCACAGGTGGACAGTAATTCTTCCGCGGGCACAACGCGATTCACCAGCCCCCAGGCGCAGGCCGTTTCGGCATCGAGATAATTGCCGGTCAGGCTTAATTCTTTGGCGCGGTTGATGCCGATCAAACGAGGCAAACGTTGTGACAGCCCCCAGCCGGGAACAACCCCAACTCTTGCGTGGGTATCTGCAAAGCGGGCATTGGGGCTGGCGATGAGGAAGTCGCACATCAGTGCAATTTCGAAGCCACCAGTGATGGCAAAGCCATTCACTGCGCCGATAACGGGCTTGCTCAGTGCGCCGATGGCATCACTCAGATCGCGGCTCGAGACCGCTGCATCAGCCGGCTTTTCACCCCCCAGTTCTTTCAGATCCAGCCCTACCGTAAAGGCGCGGCCTGCCCCTGTGAGGATGATCACTTGCACATCCGGGTCAGCTTCCAGCTGATCAAAGGTGTCGGCAATAGCATTACGCAGGGCCATTGAAAGGGCATTTAAGGCGTCGGGACGATTGAGCGTAACTGTCGCAACACCTTCATGCTTGTTGATCAGAACCAGTTCGTCATTCATTTAACCATCTCTCGTGTGCCATCAGAAGCCATCCAGTTTAGCAGTCCGGCGGGCGGTACGCTCGATTCAACGGTAATATCAGACCTGTGCAAAGCCTCGATTCTGTATCGATAAACCGCTAGCATCGTGGTCAGTTATCAATGAGGTGGAATCGTGCGTTTAGCGGACTACGTGGTCAGTTACAGTCTGCAGATTAACAATCGTTGCCTGCGCTATCTGGCGGAGTGCGACATCCGTGACGGTGGTTCCCTGGTGCCCGAAGGGGGTGACGAACTGCCCACCGAAGGACATATGGTGTACGCCGAAAGCCTGCTGACCCGGGACAGCAGACGTCTGGCCAGTATGTGGTCGCTGATGAAGCCCGGCTGGGCGGATACCAGCGCAGAAGTGGCCAGTCATGTGAAAACTCTGAAAAAGGCTGCCAGTGGATTGGCGGATGGCTCCTCGGGTCACCGTCTGGCCATGCGTTTAGCCAGTGTCGCCAGTGAAGATCATGAGGCACAGGCCATACTGACCATAGCGCGTAAGCTGCGCACGGAAAAACCCTTCAGCTGGGATGCGCTGAACGAGTTGTTTGCCCAGGACAGCCACTTCTGGCGCGAATCTGCTGAATTTCGCCAAATGCATGATGATGCGCTCTGTCAGCGCGTGGCGCGCAGTTACAGGAAAAGCTATCGCCTTGCTAACAACTGTTTCGCCGATGGGAGAAATCTATTTCCCAAGCAGAGCGAAAGCCTGCATCGCCGAGTGCAATTGTGTGCGCACCAATTGGAACTATTGCGCCCCGGACTGTCTGACAAGGGTAAGAGCCAGCTGTGGTACTTACTGAAGATGTCCGATACCCTGCGCACGCGCAGCGGGCTGCTGAAATTGCACCTTGAGGCGCAACGGGCAGCCTCAAACGACAAAACAGTTGAACAGAAAACCCTCGATATCGTGTTGTTACATATCGATCGGCAGATAGAGAAAATGGACAAACGTATGCTGCGTCTGGCGGGCGACTGTTTCAGCGTCAAACCCAAGCGCTTAGCAAGCTGGGTAGAAGACGCCGTTGATCGCCTTGGGTTACGGGACGTCAGTCTGATGCAGACCGGCCTCATGCAAACTGGTCAAGGTGGTGAGGTTCGCGGTACGGACGGCTCAGCAGATACAACAACAGGGAAGGATTATGTCTGAATCAGGATTGCTGCATCGCTGGCTCGCCAGGCTTGTAGTCATCACCTGCGCGGCAGTTGCGATCCCGGTCAGTGCGGATGACTATTCCGCGGGTTGGGGCCCGGCGCTGGGTGCTCAAATGCCCCCTATAGCCGCGCCAGATCAGGCTGGGGTCGAGCGTAGTCTGGCGGATCTATCTGGTGATCAGGGCTTGTTGCTGTTTTTAAGCCGTTCGGCTGACTGGTGACCCTTCTGTAAACACCAGTTGGTTCAACTGGCAGAATGGCAGGAAAAATTTGCCGAATTGGGGGTCAATGTGGCCGCCATGACTTACGATAGCCAGGAAATTCTGGCTGGTTTTCACAGCAGCGAGAATCTCAGCTATCCGTTGTTGCAGGACCAGGCCGCAAAATACGTGTTGGCTTTAGGCATTCTCAATGAAGATTACGCACCCGGACATCGCGCATATGGCATACCGCACCCAGGCATCATTTTTGTTGGTGTTGACGGCACAGTGAAAGCAAAATATGCCGTACCCGGGTATCGACGAAGACCGCCCTTTGACATGTTATACGCAGATGTTGAGGCGCTA